TTCGCATTAGTTCAAATTTTCGCCGATAAGAGGGCAGGACCTCCTGGGCATGATATGTGGCGCCATCTCTGAGAGAACCAGTGAACTTTCTCCGACAAAATAAATCTTAAAGTAATTCGAAAATCAGCTGTATCAGGCTGGTACAGATAAACTGCGATAGGGAACTTTCAAAAAATCCTTTTACTTTTTGCAACTTGCAGATGGAATGAAAGTAATGGCAGAGAAAATGCAGCATAGCCGAAAAGGGGTATAGAAGTATAAGATTGGAGGAGATGGAGGAGGATGCTGTTAGGACGGAGGAGTGTAAGAAAGAGACAGAACTCATTCGTACTCTGGGATATTCGCATAGGGCAAAAGAGTATCAACGTGTATATGTGTTTAAAGATAATTTATTGAACAAACGTAATAATGATACAGTATACAAAGTACAAACATACATACAGTCATACAAAGTACATAGTATGCAATGTGCAAAAATGCATACAGACATACACACAGACATACACATACAGCCCGCGAAAGATTTGTAACAACAGTACCATTAAAGATATATTACATATATCACTGCAATATAATATACGTGTTGTACGTTATATGCACTACGACTTTAATTTTTCCTTTTTCCAAAGGACATTTTAAAAATTTAGTTTTTAAGGATATACTAGGAGGAGAGTGATGGAGACAGGAAGGAATAAGAGATTCGAAAACAGAATAGAAACGTTTGGTGGCAGCAGCCAAGAAAAATGTTTGGATATAAAAGTTGAGAAGAAGTAAGAAATTAGATAAATCAGAAAGTAAAGAATGAAATATAAAGAAATAAGGAAATAAAGAAGAAATAAATATAGAAATAGAAGAAAGTTGGAAATGGATATGAGAGATGCTTCCAAAAGATCAGTATAGGAGACCGGCTCGAGGAAGAATGAGCGCTCCGAGTCCAGCCACTAGCTCGAGCGCTTCCTCCACCATCTGTCTGCTCGTACTTACCGAGTCCTACGCGACGAATTTGCGGGCACGCAATTTTAGGCATCTTCCAGTACTTCTAAATATGCTTGACCAAAATTTCCGATTTCTAAGTGTTAATATTTTACTTTATTGATTTAATTAATTATCTAGATTCTATGTTAAGGAGTTCTGAAAAATCCGCTAGGTCATATGGAATATTTCGAAAATAATATATTGCTGCGAAAATATAAAATTCACTTAACTTTACTTTCGCGATCTCCCGGTGACTGCCTACACATGCTACTCTTTAAGGCAGGTTCTCAGAGAGCTAAATACTAGGAGCTGTCTCTCTGACATGGTCAGATAGTAGCAAGTTTTAGCTTGGTTTCTACCTGTGAAGATGACGACGCTCAGCTCTAAGTAGGAACTACTTAATTGAAATCATATTTAAAAATCAAATACTAATTTGATGTTACACATGATGATTTGAAATATTTCATTTTATTTGTACAGATTGGAAAAATGTGAAGTTTGTGCGGCTAACAAAGCAAAGTACACGTGTCCAAAATGTGAGGTTAGAACATGTTGTCTTGGATGTATCAACATTCACAAAAAGGAATTGGATTGTGATGGAATTCGAGATAAAACAAAATTCATCTCACTAAACACATTCACTGATTTGGATTTACTCAGTGGTACATACAAATAAGACTCAACCATATATATCTGTTGTTACTTTAAATGTCATTACTGATTATAAATTTTCCTCATTTTTTAATTAAGACTATCGATTACTTGAAGAAGTTGGTAGGTCTGTAGACCAACTACAAAGAGATCCTTCAAAAAGATATACGCGACAAAGCAATCTCCCTGTGGTAAGTTTTCTATCAGTGAGTCATCAAATTTCTAATGCATTTCTCTTAATTTCGTAATATTGTTATAGCACTTAAATAAATTGAAAACAGCAGTTAAACATAGAAGAACAAAACTAGAATTTCTGCCACAAAACTTTAGTCGTCATAAGGAAAATACAACATATTTGAAATGGAGTACAAATGAATTATTCTGGAGAGTTGAGTGGATTTTTCCTCAAGCAGAGAATACAAAATGGGTTGATGATAGGTAATAATCCAATGCTGTATTTGAAATACTTATTCCAGCACCCAGGATAGGATGTACTTTAAAGAGCAAAAGTAATGATAAAATTATTTTTCAAGGTTGTTGGAGTCTGAACGATTATCTAATCTAGTAGAAAAGGTAATAGATCCTATAGAGACGTCAAAAGATAAGAAACTAGATATTGAGGAGTTAAATGTTAAAATGATTCTAAGTGACAGATTACAATTTTACCGTGCCGCTGGATTGCCTGGAATAAAGGTTTTGTTAAAAGCAGAAATGGTTCAGAAATCTGATACAAGGTGTGTAATAGATTACTTAACGTATTTAAAAAATCCTGCAATAATTATTTTCTTTCAGATTTTATGAACTAGATGTAACATTGACGCTTAAAGAAAATTTAGAAAAGAAAACAATAATAGAATTTCCAACATTATATGTAATATTGCGTGATCACTTGGATATGTATGAAATTATAGATAGTGGTAAGTGTTGTATTCCTACTTTTATAAATTATAAAATAAGATATCAAAATTACCAATAAGGTGTTAAAATACACATATTCCTTAGATGAAGAACAAGAAGTAGTGGAAAAAGAAAAATCATTTAATAATTCAAAAAAAAGAAACTTACAAAAAAGAAAATATCCACGGAATCAAAATAGCAAACAAAAAGAGGAAGGCCCAGTGAATTTCTTTTTTGATACTGCATTAACAGATTCAGAGGATGAACAAATGCACGAAAGGAGAAATTACCCTAGCAAATTAAATATTCCAGAGTATAATGATTTGGTCAAAATGGAACATTAAAATAGCATTATAACTAAGATGACAAAGACCTCAGAAAATTCATCAAGAATCATCGTATATATTTGTATGAATTCAATGTTTATTGTAAATATATCGTTCTTACGAGCAAGTACAATTGAATTGCATACAAATATTATAACATTAATAATAACACATGTTTCATTGGTACCATTCCCCATAGACAATCTACATATCCCCCCCTTATGGTTTACCGCCCAAAAATATTTTCCTAGTAGACAATAAATATATATTTTACCTTTTTTCACTCCTACATGGATACTTAATAGCATCGTTCGTAAAAGGAGAATAATGTTTCCACAATTGAATCTTTCATACATAACTTGACTCATACACGTTAAATTCCATTGTAACACATATATATAGTGGTGAATAAAATATATAATCGTAGGAATTCGCATATGAATATAAGAGTTGGAATGAAGCAAATTAGTAACGTAAATGCTAATAATATTAACACCAAGGATATATCAGAGATCTTAATACTATTGTTTTATAAATGACGATCGTAAATATTGTATCGATGGATTAGAATTTAAAGAATTATTCTTATCGGAGGCAGTAAAATTTTTCACATATAAATCAATTGATGCTAAGTCATGTGTTGTTGAAACATTAAATATTCTTTTGATATTTAAAAAAGGTCGACGATATTACTTGTATATATACAAAAAAATGCTTTACAATATTTACCCAAACTTGGAGAAAAAAATTTATTTTTCCTTGGAGAGAACGCAGTAGTTGACACGTCCTAATCAGACCAACGCTTGACATCTAGTTTCTGATGCAACAATGATTGGTGATTGGTTTCATTGACTAAAGAATAAAGAAGTAAAGCAGGAAGACCAAAAATGCAACTAGGCCAGCCACTGCTTTAATGTACATTGATTTACTGTTAAGGTGTGCTGCATCTTTTCTATATTTCTGTGACAACATCGATAAGTTTTGTGTCTTTGTGTCTAATTCTGCAATTAATATGTAAAGTGTGAGTAATAATATCATAATTGAAACTAATTGTCAAAAATTAAAAAACATTCTTACCTGAGAGAACTGTTCCTCTTTGAAGAACATCATCGATATTTTGAACCATAATTCGCTGTACGTCTTGCAATTGAGTGTTCAGAACATTCATGTTTCTACGGGATCTATTGTCTGAGAATACCTTCTTAGCCTTATTAATGTAGGTGTCTATGAAATAAATATTTGAAATTAATTTAGAATTATATGAAATATAATAAATTAATATCTCAATCATCTTGACAATGTATTTACCAAATTCGATAAAATAATATGGCCTGGCAACTGTATTAACCCGTTTCCCATATTGAGAATGGAATTCTTGTGCAATGTCTTCCAGATAGCTATATGCAATACGTTTACTATAATTCCTCTCGCACAATACCAAGTAACAGACCTCATTCTCTATTAAATAGCTGTAAGGAAAATAATGTCAGAAAAAATTTGGATATACAGAATATCAATGTTATTCCAAATAAAAATACCCACTGAAAGAGATATGGTCCAGTTTCTATAGTGCACCTTGCAGGAGATTGTGGTCCTAGCTTCCTGAAGAGCATTTTAGCCTGATTTTGGTATTCCAAGATACTCTTCCCACTCTATACAAACCAAAATACACAACCATTAATCCGACAATAATTACTAATGCATATGGATGAAAATTAATATAAAAAACTTTAAAAATAAAACTGGGCATTATGATTGCATACTACTTTAAACATTTCTATATCAGCAAAAACTAGTAGACACAATATTTAAAAAAAAAAAAGAATAAAATCCTTAACTCAATGAAATAGTGACATTTCATTATAAAAGCGCTCTAACCTGTTCATCCTCCTGCATACTTGCAGCCAACGGCAGGCCGTCTGATATCCGCGCAATCATCGTTAGTAACACCATTTTCGTAAAATTATATACAATTCGACTCTAAATATTTGATAAATACTTGAAAAATCAGGTCGCTGGTACGAAACTCAATATCCACAGTTCATTTGTACGGCGCTGAAGCACAATGTGTCCAAATCCTGAAGTTGTCACTGAAAAGATACCACGTCAGTCCCTGCCGTCACTACCAGTCGGAGTAAGTGGCTATAAGTCCGCCATTTATTTAACTTTACCATCCAATTCATCACATTCCTAATGAAAATCTATATTTATCACTGTACTAAATCGATACTATAGAAATTCATTTCACAAATAAAAAAACATATTTAAAGCTCTGTCAATTAGATTAAAAATAAACTGAAATATTCTTTTGATTTCATCGCCAATTCATCGCGTATTGCATCAAGAGACTCGGTCAAGTCTCGCGCCAAGTATTCATACATATAGGCAACCGGTTGTACGTACATGGGATTCAGGGCACGGACCGCAGAGACTTTGCCGGAGTCAAGTTTTATACCACCGTTTGGAATCAAATATCTTATGATCCGCTATATATGAGAAAAGATTATCGATACATTCACTATAGGAATGGAGGGTTTTGAATCGATTACCACCAAGATCTATAAGATTAGTGTACATACAAGATCAGGGCATGTTGCGTATAACAAAGTAGATTTAAGTGCTTACAACTTCTTTAATATATCCAGTTGAGCAACAAAAACTTATGATATCCCCTCAAAAAATACTTACGTGTAACAAAGTGTGCCAAGTACAGGAGTGCTGTGAATTCCTATAACAAAAAGTGTTGAAATCATATTATTAATTGCCCAGTACATAAGTCACTACATATTTTCTTATTATATGATCTAGTACTAGCTCATCGTTTTTATTGTATTTTCAAAATTTTCTATAAAACTTTACGAGATTCCTTATCGAGTACTACTTGGCGGGTGCATGACAGAATTCCAAAATAAATATTCGTAAAAATAATTAATATACGTACAAGTAAGTGAAGCCTTCAATAATATCTTGTATCCTGAATGACTTCGCTGTTTGTTTCCAAATATTTTCTGAGAAGTCCCTTCTCTTCCCGCCATTTAAAAACTGTCAGCGGTGTCTAAAGTAATTACACTTGTTCAGCGCTGCTGGAGCCATCTACGAAACACTTGCAAAAACACAAGTATTATTATTTTAATAATCCGACATAGCAAAATGTCGCCCAACAATTAGATTTTAGTGCAAAATCCGAAAGGAATTAAGCAGAAGATGCAAAATGTTTGTTTACTATCATACAAAATGTAAGTTGAATATTTTCAGTAATGTTATTGATTAAAGTTACGAGTACGCATTCATGAATGATGTTTACACCATAATATTCTTTTTTGCAGAAATGACAAAACAAGAATTGCATATGTGATGCATAAGTAAAATCACGGTCGTACATACAGGTCTTGCAACTCCCTTGAAGGGGGTAGTCTTCTTTTAGAAGGATTTTTCATTTCGCTTCATAACCACAAGAGGTGTTGCGATCAAGCGATCCGTTCCTATTTCTCTCTCCCACAGCTGATTGTAGAGTGAGATAGATAAGGGGCCCGTTCCTATTTCTCTCTCCCACAGCTGACTGTAGAGTGAGATAGATAAGGAGTTGCTCGATCACAGCGACGCTTCTGACTAAAATTTAAAATGTACCGTGCTTCTAAACCACGTCTACCCCCACCGCTGAAAATTGGGCGAGTTGCAAGATCTGTATGTAAGACCGTGAATAAAATACATGCAAATAATTCCTTCTAATGGCCGTAGGATGGCGCCAGTAATCAATATCGAACTGGTCAATAATTCCTTGGCATTTGTTGGCATGCAACCAACAGGCTAGATGTACTTTTTATTACAATGCAATTTCGATAAGGTTATGTCATGTTATTTTTGTGGGATGTTTTGAAATGTTATTTACTCGGTTGTGCACTATCTGCCAGAACAAAAACAAATGTTAAAATAGTGCGTTGATATTCGCGCACAATAAATTAAATCAAAAGAGAGACATGTAAAATTCAGAAAGTATGATTTTCACCCAACGAAAAATGAAGCAATTTGTTTTTACCATAGTGTGTGTAATATTAGGTAAGCTGCTCTTGTTTTTGCTCCTTAATATTTTATAAGTTATGGCACGCAAGTGTTATGAGATTCAATTTCTCTAACATATTCCAGCTGGAATTGAATTCTTGATCGGTAATATACTGGATTCTTATTGGTTTTTTTATTTTGATTTGTGCTTTTTTTTTCTAATGATATTTCCGATTTCATCGGTTATTTTTTTCAATATCCACTTACGAACATATGTGAAATGTCAGGTACATTTTTGTTATTTAATATAAACGTATGTTGAAAAAATAATAGAATTAGATTTATTCTATTATAGTTCTAGGTTTCTACAAATCATGGGCACGTACGGATAATGAGCACAGTTTATTCAGTCATCAACACCTGACTAAATCGACTGATAACGACATGGAGTCTTCTTTGAATAAAGCAAAAAATGAAAATCCTCCTGGTTATATAGAAATTAACGATCTTCAAGAAGCAAATAATCGGATACGAGAACTCGAAGACAAATTACAGCGTATAGAAGTCAAGATTGAAAATCGCGTGCCGAAAAATTTCCCGACTGTTAAATTTCTTAACTACAAGAATCGTAAAAGAATTTTAGTAACCGGAGGCGCCGGATTTGTTGGTTCCCATCTTGTTGATCGTCTCATGCTCGCTGGCCATGAAGTGACTGTGGTTGACAATTTTTTTACTGGGCGCAAACGAAACGTGGAACACTGGATTGGCCATGAAAATTTTGAGCTTGTTCATCATGATATAGTGAGACCACTTTATCTTGAAGTCGATGAAATTTATCACCTTGCCAGTCCAGCCAGTCCTCCACATTATATGTTAAATCCAGTGAAAACTATAAAAACTAATACATTGGGTACAATAAATGTGCTTGGTACGTGATTAAAAAATTAATAAATAATTTTTTAAAGGGATTTCACTAAACTAAATATTAGGATCTCTTTATCGAAACTATTTCATTACAGGACTTGCTAAAAGAGTTGGAGCTCGGGTTTTGATAGCTAGCACTTCAGAAGTATATGGGGACCCTAATGAGCATCCACAGACAGAAACTTACTGGGGTCATGTCAATCCAATTGGTTAGTTTGTGTCTAATAATATTTGTTACTTATATTGTTACGAGATTTTTATATATAAGATAATACAATATAAAAAGTTATGACAGATACATGTACAATGTTTCAGGGCCAAGAGCTTGCTACGATGAAGGAAAACGTGTTGCTGAGACACTGAGTTATGCTTACATGCGGCAAGAAGGTGTTTCCGTAAGAGTTGCTAGGATATTTAACACGTTTGGACCGCGAATGCACATGAACGACGGTCGCGTTGTTTCGAATTTTATTCTTCAAGCTTTACAAAACGACTCCATCACTATTTATGGCGACGGACATCAAACAAGATCGTTTCAGTATGTCTCAGATTTAGTTGATGGACTGATTGTGCTGATGTCCTCAAATTACACATTGCCCATCAACATTGGAAACCCTGTCGAACACACTATTGAACGTAAAAATTCTTTAACATTCCTGGATCTTACATTATAATTAATTTATTGCTTAGTACTTACATTGTTTCAGATTTAAAAAACAGCCTATATCTTATGTTAAGCTCTTGTTTTTCCTCTTCAATAATTAATGCATTAAAATTACGGTTATACTAATATTTTATACTTAATTGTTACAGAGTTCGCTCTAATGATAAAGGATCTAGTGGGTGGTACAAGCAAAGTTGTAGAGCTGGCAGCAGTGGAGGATGATCCTCAAAGACGAAGACCGGATATAAGTCGTGCCAAGAAATATCTGGATTGGGAGCCAAAAGTGCCGCTTGCTGAAGGCCTCAAACGGACGATATCTTATTTTGCAAAGGAGTTACAAAGAACGAAACACTCTCAAAGAGATAGCTTTGAGATGGAACAACTGCCTTTGTTTAAAAATGATCATGACATCATAGAGAATTTGTAGAATTCAATCATCATGAAACTGAAATAACTTTGGATGGGTACACTTCATTGAGTCAACTGAAGAAGATTAGTACCTTTCGAAGGAATTCTATTGAGGGAAACATTCGTGGAAACAAAAAAGCAAGTGTCTATGCCGAATCATCGAAGAATCTATTCTCACAAGAAATGGCTTGTCCAAATTCAACTTACTGAGAAAGCATGAAGTACTTTATGATTTGATTAGTGCCAGGCCATTCAATTAATAATATATACATTGAGGATAAAAGAATCACACGGGAATTGGAAAAATTATGTCATCATGAAGCGATTTGTATCATGGTGCAATTTATATCATTGATAACTATTCGTATGAAATGAAATCTTGAAAAATTACGATTTAAAAATGATAAAGTGAGATGTTTTTACACGAATAACGACTTATAAACGTTCTCAAACCTTCGTACGGAAACAAGCATTAAATTATTGTGAAGAAGTGGTTGTGATGTTAGGGACCTTTTGTAAACAAACTGGATAAATTAGATTTCCTGCTATGAATCCATTTTGGATAATAAATGGTAACTCACGTGTCATCTATGTGGACCATAATGTGCCAAAGAATATCTCCATATTCAGCCAACACTTTGAATTGACTTTCTTGGTATTCAAAGTATTGATCAGAATTGATCGTACAAATTCTCTTATATATTGTACTTGCCATACAATTTTCTTGCTGAAAATTTGGTCTTACTTTTATTATCTGTTGCCATAAGATCTCCAACAATATCTCAGCTTCATCTCACAATCAAAATGCCAGCACAGATCTTACATTTTTTAGTTAATTACCACTATATTCTGCTATAGAGTTCATACTTAGGGCAGTGTACTCTCAGAATGATATTATTTTATGCGTGATATTACTTTAATTTTGAAAATCATTAGATGATTTGAACTGCATTAACAAAAAAATTATTTAGGTATGGTATAAATCGATCGCCCTAAGGTTTACTGACCGTCATTTCTCTCCGCTCATACTTCTGTTACGTAATGTAATGGTAATTTTGTTATACGTTGAAATGACGTAATGTGTAATACGTGTAGTGAAGGATTAAAGGACCATAATTTATATGTATGTATATATATTAGTTTATATAAATATATATTTATGTGCAATTATTTTGAGTTGACATATCCCAATTTATTTCCCCTCAATGATCTGAATAACAGATATAAAGACGTCATAATATTTAATAAGAACCTCATAAATCTGATTTTTAAAGTCGATTTTCTTAAAAATGAAGCCTGTGAAGAAAACATTTACATATTCTGCAATTTCGATTTACTTTTTCATGAGAAATCAGGTTCCTTACTGATTGTACCATGTATTTCGTTCGACTTTGTATATTACATAGAGCTCAATGATGTTGCCATTATAGCACATTTAATTTCAATAAGCAATTGTATACTTATACATATATTGATTTTCTTACAACCAGCAAAAAGTTATCAGATGATGTATACTAAACTTTGTCAAAGGTTATAAGATATTAATATAATCTTAGAAAGTGCAAAAGTCCATGTCTCACAAACTATGGATCAACACATCTCTTTTAAAGGCTCCAAATCAGTCAATAGTCAAGCGTTATAGAATAATGTCTGGAACACTTACATTTTGTATCTTAATCTTTATACCGCTAGGTTTAATCACTGGAAATTCAGGCTCCAATAATGGAACTATTTGTGCAACAAGAGAAGCCTTCAGATTGTGTTCACACAAAAGCATTTTAACCGAAGTTAATGAATTAAGAAACGAAGAACGTCTTCAAATCTCTGATTTGGGTCTTCTTTCAATAGCAGCAGGAGCTTTCAAAGATCTATCCATCACACATCTTTACCTGAATCAAGGAAACCAGATATCAATTTTGACGACAGACTCATTTAGTGGTTTACCAAATCTAAAATGGCTTCATTTAGACAATAACGTTGTGTCACTTTCATCAAATCTCTTTGAGAAATTAAAGAGCCTAGTATCACTATCACTGGTTTATAATCGAATCAACAATATACCAGCCAGATCCTTCAATGGTCTGACCAAATTAACATTTCTTTACCTCAATCACAATGATATTACACACATCTCAGCCAACGCTTTTCAAGGAGTCAGCAGTAATCTCATGTACTTGTGGCTCAGCAATAATCAAATAAATGAAATTGCGCCTGGAGCTTTCGCAGGATTGACACAACTGAATCAACTGCATTTGGAATCAAATCATTTGACATCCTTGCAAGCTGGATTTTCTGATGGTCTCATCAATTTGGAAGTTCTTTTCCTTAACGATAACCAACTGACATCATTGCAGCAAAGCACATTTACCAATTTGGGAAATCTACAAAAATTGTATTTACAAAATAACAACATTGCAAGCATTGAGTCCGACAGCTTTGTGGCTTTAAGGAAATTAGAATTTCTTCAACTTAATGGAAACCATCTGACCATCATAGACAATGGAGCGTTTTACGGACTTATTGCACTCAAGGAATTGCATCTTTCGAACAATGAGATACAAGAACTGAAGAAATTGGTTTTCAAAGATTTACAAGCTCTTACTTCGATTCATCTGAATAGAACTAATCTGACTGATTTAGATATTGAACAAAGTGGTTTGCCCTCATCAGCTTCTGTAATTTCAACTAAATAAAAAAGTTGAATCTTAAATAAATGTAAAAGTTCAATAATTAAAAAGTATTTTAAATTACCAAGAAATAAATATGTTTAAGGAGGCATGTTCTTAAAATATCTATTATATTTTGTAATTCATTGTCTCCTTTGTATTTTCTCTTTCAATCAAAAATAAATTCCTCAAAGATTACATAAATCTACACAATAATTTCTCAATATCCTAAAACAATATCATCAATATCAGCTATACATACATAATAAAGAAAATGAAACAATTACTGGCAAAGCAAATTGAATAGAAATGGAGCACTCTACTAGATTACCATATAGAACTTGAAACTCAGTCAAGAAATTCACTTCATTCAGTCACGTAGTTCACCTAAGAGAATTGAAAATCCACAGAAATGGATACCGTAATGATGAATTTCTATTTCTTCCTTAAAATGTTCGGTTTAATTATCGTAAAATTTAATTCAAGCGGAAGTCTAGTATTATCAAGAGTGTCAGTACTGTGGTCTTTCTTATTAATAATTTTGAATTTTGCACATCTATGTACGCTCCCCGACTACGTAACACATTTAACTAATTTAACAATGAGCGAAAAAAGATATCTAAGCATTAGCGCAATAAACAGATCCGTTGCCATGAAATGTGTCCAACCATTCTCTTGCGTAATTGCTGCTCTTGTTGCTCGTATTAATACAATAACAATTTCGCCGTTACGAGTTGAGAAGATCGCAAATAATTTGAATATGGTGGATCGCATCTTAAATAACAAAAGCGTAGGAAAAACTACTTTTCTTGTATGTTGCGGAATTACTTTTTTCTGGTGTTTAATTGTTTGCATTAGTAATATAATAATCATGGAAACTATCGAAATAAATAATTCCTTGAAACTGCTTTGGGAATTTTGGGAATTGCTAACTGTAACTGCAGCAGAGAACAAATTTATAGCTTTCATCATAAGGCTGACTAATCAATTTGGTATTATTAATGAAAAATTAGAAGAAATGTGCGACACTAAAAAATTCTCACATGCAACGTAAGTTTACAGTAATTTATAAGATTTTTTACTGTGAAATTCGATACCTAATTAAATGTCCGAACAGGCACTCGTGTATGGAGAGGAAACGCAAAATGTATGAAAAACTTGATGAAGACGAGGACGAGAGCAAAATGTCTTTAAAAGAGAAGATAGAACACTGTCGTATTGCTCACAGTATTGACAGAGATATTTTTCGAAATATTAATGATAATTATCAGTACTTCCTGCTAATCAGTATCAGTAGTAACTTTACGAGTTGTCTTTCCAATCTTTACTTGACAATTCATGACGGGCAACAATCTTTTTCAAATAAACAGAATTATTCTACTGTCGAAATTTGGCAAAGTCAAACAGTAAAAATCATTACGAGTATTTTTTATATTATCAAAATCGTCATCATCGTGTGGTTATCTTCACTGGCTACCAATGAGGTGATTCTTTCAATAATTAACATATTTATTCAAGTCGCGCTTATGTTTTAAGATGTATTAATGACAGTTATGTCATATCAAATGTCATATCAATGTCGTAATTATGTCATAATTATGTCATATCAATATATCATTTATCAAATTTTAGGGAAAAAGGTCCGCATCACTGACAACACGTCTCATGTCGCGATCTAATGAAATTGCCGTTAAAGAACAGGTTCGTTCTGCGCTATAGCTTCTTTCAAAAATGTATATTCTTCATTGTAGTTTAGAAGAATGCAATTTTAAGAAATTAGAAAAGAATTGGGCTGCTTTTTTTAGCTCAACCTTTTCCATGATCAAATAATGCTACACGACATTGAGTTTTCCATTGTAGGACTATTTCGATTAAGATTTTCCGTAATAGGTTCGGTAAGTATAAGGATGAAACAAGAGAATACTATTAGAAATAAAATACGTGAAAGTACAATTGAAAACTATTTTGTTCTCAGATGTTGAGCGCGGCTATAACGTACTTTGTTATTCTTATACAGATGTAAAAAGGAATTCCGCTATTATATTTATTTTGAAAAAGGTAACGCGCGATACGCATTGTTGCTGATGGTTTCTGATTTGACAAGAGCAGATTGAAGCGAATGTTCGAATAGTATTATTGGATTTGCAATTTTTTAGACAACATTTAATCGGGAAATGTTATTATAAACGAATAGAAGCTGAATTAGTGCATTCTGTATTAATTTAATTATTAGCTATATTTCAGATTGTAATTCTTGTATAACCGTAATTCATGAGATACATTTTACTTAACCTTATTCCTTATTCAGGGTTATGTTAAGATTGCGTAAAGTTTTGTTTTCTTTAATTACTTAAATCTTAACTGCGCTACTTCAATAAGGTAATACAGCGTTTTTTAACTATAGTGTGTGAATTGTTGTTCTTTTCACATAAATTATTTCAATAATAACAAAGTGTTCAAAATTGTAAAGTGCGATAAGAAAATATGTTTTATCATGTAAGTAAAATTCGAATTCAGAATATAAATGCTCTATATGTTCATGTTAGCTACATATATTTTTTCGTTTTTAATAATTGTAGATATCATTGGAACATGAAATTTTACTACATCCAAGATATTTTGGACCACAGTTACTTGACACAGTCAAACAAAAATTATATACAGAAGTAGAAGGAACATGTACCGGCAAGTGAGTGTTTTGAGTCTGCAATTTTTTTAAAATTCTAATATTATTGCATTTTTAGATATGGTTTTGTAATTGCTGTAACAACAATAGACAACATAGGTGCTGGTATCATTCAACCTGGACAAGGCTTTGTAGTCTATCCTGTGAAATATAAAGCTATTGTATTCCGGCCTTTCAAAGGAGAAGTATTGGATGCTATTGTCACACAAGTCAATAAAGTAAGAAAAAAACATTTAATCACTGAAATCTAATTACAAAGAATGTCAATAAAACATACTGATGCCTCTCTACAGGTTGGAATGTTTGCAGAAATAGGTCCATTGTCCTGCTTTATATCGCATCATGTACGTAAACATATGAAAATTCTAAGAGTTATTATATATGCAAAACATTATATTTCATAATATAATTTCAGTCCATACCATCAGATATGCAGTTCTGTCCAAATGTAAATCCACCCTGTTACAAATCAAAGGAGGAGGTAAGACTCACTGTGAAACTTACCAACTGTTATTGCTCAAAGTCCTTCTCAGACTGTTACTGACAGTAAATTAACTATATGAAATTTCAGGATGTAGTAATACAAGCCGATGATGAAATCAGATTAAAAATTGTTGGTACAAGAGTAGATGCCACTGGAATTGTAAATATAAATATATATCAAATCATAATCATAACATAGTTATTCATATGCTAATGACATGCTTTTCTCTATTTCAGTTTGCCATTGGTACACTAATGGATGACTACCTTGGTAAGAATCAATTATTTCAATTCTTTTACTGTATAGTATATAATGTGTAATAATAAATAAGTATCAAGAGTATCATAACAAGTACTTTGGCAGTGACCAAGTCTTACACATATATCTGTTTTGCAGGATTGGTGTGCAATTGATCAACCGACAAATTTGATACAGATTTGCTTCCCTTCTGCATTTTAAAGACCATATGCTCTTTACCGGATAATTAATTACAGAAATGCCTTTTTTTAATATCAGATACTGAATATATATATACTATTCCATAAATATATACAATAATTTTGTATTATCAACAATAGTGAGCTATTATGGACAACTAAATGAGTAACAATAAGTGAAACCTATCAGCGACCAGTGTCATATGAATTATAGAGCATATCATTAACATGGATATGAAAATTTCGATTAACATGTACTTTATAAATATTAAAACATTGATCACTTTGTCATCAGTAACGTCAATTCTTCTCGATATAACATACGAAAATCATCAAACGGCAGTACTGGCATACATACACTATTGGTTGGCAATGCCAACTATATCAAGCAGAATTATATAATAAATATAACTTTTCAAGATCATAGATAATAATATAAGTTTCCAAGGTCACACATTACCTAAATATTTTGTATTAATGTAATCAAGCATTAATACTATTACTTTTCTGGATTAGCGGCTCTCTTGATACATCTGGTTCTTGATTTTGAGTTGGGCTCCCGGTATTCATTACGTTAACTGAATTCGAAGGAAAGGTACGAGAAAAAAATCAAAATTACGAAATCTTCAATACTTTGAATTCATGCCTGATTTTATTTGCGACGAATGATGTAATCTGATCTCTTAAGTAGGAATATTCAGGTTCCTTATCACGAAATAAATAAACTGGAAATATCTGTGATTTTATGTCAGTTCCTTGAGGTATGATTGTAACTAACAATTAAAATCTAGCAAAATCAATAAGCACAGTGTCATCTTTGTCCTCCATTTAAATTCTTTGCAACGAGTTACAAATTTCTCATATATTAGTTAACTAATACAGCTCCTTCGAGTATCTCTATCTCATATCCAGGTTTACTTGTAACTGCAAAAATGTATTAAGTTCGGCAGACTATCGCAAAAATATCAACAAGTTTTTGTAGTATGATAAAAAATCAGTAGGTATAATATGAAACATAAACTTACCCATATGTACGTAACTGATCTTGTACGTCTGATGCCACAAGACATCATTTGATCTTCTCCAAAGGTAGCATGACTGTTTCTAAACACTCTACTTCCCGCTGTAATTGTTTAAATATTGGATTGAGACTTTCGGCTACTGATGATATATCGCATGTAGATCCTTCTGATCCTGACAGGCCTAGAAATAAGGCCAATTTTGTTGCTATGGGGGTTTTCTCAGATTCGCCTTGTATATCCTGATCAGGCATCATTTTATCTGCTACATGTTTCACTATTAATCCACTGCTGTTCACATAGAATGTCGAAAATCCATCGTACCACCTAAAAATGATTATTTTTCAATGCTATGTGCTGTAAAAAATTGATGTATATGATTGGGATACTTTGAATTCTTAGGATCTTACGATTCTTGCTCTTGAAATGCCTCCTGTATGTTCCATAACTTTATTTTCCAAAATAGAAACATCACTTTCAATCCTGATATACCACGTATACGCCAGCGAACTTTCACAGTACCATCCTCAGGATGCATTGTTATCTTTAGAACTTCAAATGTTACATATGCAAATTTCAAGTGACCAACTGTTCTCAATAGGGCTATTTGTTTAACATAGTGGAACAGACCCCTGAAACAATGTCAGTTATGTAAAGTCATTTATCTCTTGCATCTATGTATATTTCTAAAAGCTGACACTAACTTTGTTGTGGTACCTCTAATATTATTAACAAATACCAGCTCGGGATGATAGATAGAATAATCCATAGACTTTATGAATAAATTTGGCAGCTGTAAAGATTTGTATGAATGAGACTTAAATTTTTTATTTGAATATTTTTCTCTTAGCTAGAATTGTTATACGCACATTTTCACGCAATATGTTAAATACACGTAGTAGTTGTTCTTGGGATGGTCCACCATCTAAATCTTGTGATTGTTGACTTTCATTCACATTCTCTAGATTAGCTTTACCCTCTGCCAAGAGAATCATGTCCTTCTCAAAATTCGATAACATTGGTTTGTCAGCACTGTGCATTCTGATACCCAATGACAATCTTTTAAAGGCATCCTCCAGGGATTCATTCTCATACAGAGTGACGACACTCTCTTGCTCAACAGAGGTCTTATTCCAAACCATAATATCATCCAGAACAATTTCATATTGTTTCACAGCAGATATAAGTGGAGAATGGAAAGTAACACATCCTCTTGAGCAATCTTTGCTACACTCTTGACTTTTTCCTAAGTTATACCATTCTGTCTGAGAAGTATAATCTTCTGTTTGGTCATGTTTTCTGCTTAGATTCTCATGACACTCATTAGAGCTATCTAACGAACCCAAAGGTACATGCTGATGTATTCCAATATTTACAGAGGATTCTGGCACTCTCTCTTTGGGACTAGCAGTAGCACTGGTGATTGTTCGTACACCAAGGAACTATAATATATCATATAACAATATTTTTAATACAAAATACATATTTGTTAGAACCTTCAGATAATGAGATAACTCAATACGAAGCCTCAAGCACCAGGTGCATTAAGAAAAAATTAGTGAATTAATAACAAATTGATTTTTCACATAGAATCTGATATGTATGACAAACCAGATAATAATTAAATAGACGATAACATGTTCAAAAGAAAAGCGCAAGCAAGTTTTTGTAGTACATCGCTATATTATGTAAGTCGTTTAAGGTTAGAACGTTTCGGCATTCACTCATTAAAGTGCTACCAAGCAATGACAGTACGTCCACTGCGAGATTAAATTAAATGATAAATAATTCTACATAATTAATCAATTGAAATGTATAAAATGTCATGTTAATTCATAAATCAAGCGAACTTACCTCTTCCAAAAATGCGGATGGTTTGATGTGTTTTGGCAGCTGTCGGTCGAGTTGTCCGATTTGTTTGCGTGTGTTGACAAACGGCGTCAATTTATTAGAAATTGTACGAAAGCACAGGGACATTTTGTAGACTTTCGTGATTACTAATGACTTGTCTTAACTTAATGCGAATTATTATACGACTTTTCTAGAATTGAGTGAATGGAGCATCTACCGCCATGACTTGCCGCACGACAGTAGACGACTTGGAAAGAACTTCACTACCGTGAACTTACTTGACTGATCAAAACTTTCTACCACCATAACAATTTTTTGCTATTGCCAACTTAAGCTTAATTAAAATAGCGGCAATTACTAATTTCTTTCAATATAATTATAATCATATTATATTGATTATTGTTTATACTAGATATAATCAAGAATCAGTTTCAAAAGTTTAAAAAAAGAATTCCAGACCGGAAACGCTGCAACGACACATAGATTCAAATGGTGATAATCGTAACTTTATCATCTTATGGATGTTGTCAATAATGTTTTCTTGATATACATTTATATATACAATATACATTTATTAACATGAGTCTGCAATAATCTTACAGAGATTTACAATGTTACGTCGCGTGTTACGATAAAATATTAGGATAGTCAAGATTTTAAAGGACGCGACACCGGGATTGAAGAGATTTTATAGGAAAGAAAAAAAAATACTTGTCAACAGAAACAATTAACAGCTGAATGACACATGCAAATTGATAGCATATAATAATATGTAGTGTGGTTTTAAATAGTAAGATTAAAAAATGTCAGAAAATGTTCATTCAGGTATACCACTTATGAATTTTTTTTAGGAGAGAACGTTTCGAGCTAAGACATGTGCCACAGATAATACACGCTGAATGGACTCTGGAGTTTCCGAAACAATTAAGAGATACATTCTGTATAATTCTAGAACGACATAAAACTTGGTGCATTTAGATTAATAACTTACACAAAGATGACAAATGGAATAAGATTTTCGACAAAGAGATATATAGGAAAAAGAGAGTCCGACAAGTGATTTAAATAGAAATTCTCAAATACGCGATAGGTTAATAATTACTGCCCTTTTGATTATACAAGCCTCTTTTAAATAGCATTACCGAGACTTCCCGTGACTTTTCATTGAACTCATTTACTTTGAAGAATGTGCCGTCATTTTGAGATCAAGTTATCATTATACCCCTTTGATAATAATACCTACAATTCGATTAGCAATGAACAATAGTCTCCTATTAATTCAGTAATGTTCGATAGATCCGTTTTATCACTACCAAACGAGTAATAAACACCCGGAAGCAAATCAATGATTAAATGTCAGAGAAAGAAGTGGATTTGAAGTTGGGCCACTTCAGGCTTCTGACCATATCGTAAGGCTATATTGCCTCGTATGCCGTATCAACGCCAAGTCTTGTAGCAGAGCCATTTAAAAATTCCTCGAGTTCATCTCGTTCGCGATTCTCATCCCTGGAACGTCTAAAAGATCGTTGCTTCTTCTTTTTCTCTGCTTTCTCAGACTTTTCCTTATCCTTCTCTTTGTCCTTGGACTTTTTCTTCTTTCTCTTCTCTTTGTCTTCACTCTGCAATTTAAAGTATATACGTATATAGTCGACCCATGAAGAATACAAAGTGATCAATAGGATTTAATGATGATAAATAGCAGTTTACCTTCTCTTTGTGCTTCTTTTTCTCTTTCATTACTGGGCTACTACCATTAGAACTCATTTGTCGCATACTTGTGCTATCTAACAACTCGAGATGAACGTTGGAACTTGTCATGCTGACATCCAGACTCTTGTCACTTAATTCCAAACGGTCTTTCCTTGTGCTGGTGCTACTGATGTCCTCACCACCTTCTGGACTCTGTCGCCATTTCGAATCTCTACTGAGCCAACTGTCAAACGCGTCTGAATTTCCATCTTGCTGATCGTTTGATTCGAATTCATTAGATACATGAAGTTCTTGTTCGATGGACGACACTGAATCACGCTTAACGACCTGCTGAGCCTTTTCTTCGAAGTTTATTTCTGGTCCTGCTAGAGATTCGTGCTTGTGCTTTTGTTTGCTTAATGGATTTTCAGCTAATTTTGGTGGGACCAGTGTGGGTGCCTCATCAGCTGATGACAAGTCATCCTCGAAACCGGCAACCAGAGGATTACCAGTCTCTGTATCACTGAAATGAAAATTTATGAGATGTAGCTAAATTAAAATTTGTTGTACAAAGTATCTAGTGTTGCATACCTTTCTGAATCAATTGGCTCATGTTGAGTTTTTTTGGGTGTTTGATTATTATCATCCAAGAAGGATCTGTCCAACATACCGTCGTCTGGTACAAAATCTTCTACACTGATGATGGGTTCGTTCAAGTTAACTCCGCCTACATCAGGTATCCGCTCTGTCTCGTCATCTTTTTTATTACCAAATATCTTTGACATAAAGGATTGCTGTTTTAGATTTCCAGAATCCCGTCTATCTAAAACATCTGTTACGGATTCTACTGGTTTAACAATTTCCAGCTTTGGAACATTTTGTATATTCTGTAGAGCAGTTATCGATTGGGAGGCTTTCACTCCTGTTGATGAATTCTCAGAAGATTTTGGTAATAGATTCTCCTTCTTTGGTAGAGACTTTAAATCTAAACTCTTCACTGGAATTGGAGTACCACCTCCTATGGGACCTGGCATTGAAGCAGAACGTCTCACCTCTAGCATATTAATATTGGCAGAACTGCTGGAAGGTGAAATATGGTGGCTACTAAGGGAGGACGTGACATTTGGTACAAGAACAGTAGCAGAGACTGAATCCGCAATGGCTCTTCTTCTATTTACGAGATTGTCCAGGAACTTATTATAATCGGCGTCATCACTGTTTTGGAAAAGATCAAGTTCCTGGACGGTTAAGCGTGTCTCTTCCTCGTTTGTTTCCAGTTGCTTAACCAGCGTTTCGCGTTGCAGTTGAAGGAATGGAAGATTGAAAAATTTGTGCAGAAGCTTTAAACCAAATCCATTTCTCATTGACGATTCTGCGTATCTAATCTGTTAGAAAGTAGAAAATTAGAAATGCTTCTTAGAGCGGGTGTAAAAGTAGAAGGCATATGAACATACTTGTGCGCTTCTGCCTTGTAAGGAGTCGATGAAATAAGTAACATGGTCCGCAGTAACTGACCTATGATGAGACATATCACAATGGTTGCCTAATACAATTACTGGTATGTGATCTGGTATTTTCGGAAGTTCGCGTTGTACATAGTCAAAGGTCCATGTTTTAGTGATGTCCATCATGACAATGACACCGTTTGTGCCTTTATAAACATCTAGGAACTCAGCATCTAATGCTGGTTCTTCAATTATGTTCTCCGTAGGTGCATTGTCCATTTTCAAACCATCTAGCTTCCTACGACGTCTTCCACGATCAACGACGTCCCAAACCTCGACCTTCACAACGTCATCAGTCGCTTTATAATTCCATTGAATACTAGCTACTTGTATTTCCTCTGTAGGAATGTATTCCTCTATAAATTTTTGACCCTGTAGTCTATGGAACAAGCATGTCTTCCCTACATTACGGTCTCCCTTGATGATTATTTTCACTGAAAATAAATTATTACAAGTCACAAGATGTACGACAATATATTAGTTGTATATATTAATATTGAATCATATATATACTATTATATTGCACTCCTTTTGCAAATTTTCTCTGTAACGTCGTAGGCATAGATTGATGTGCCTGCCTTGGAGATGCATTTCCAGGCACATCTGATTTTCCAGCCAAGCGCTTAAAAGCTGAAAACATTATTCTTCTCAATGGCACAGAGTGCTAGTTCTTTTTGATAATCTTATAAAAGTTTCACGTAAGAGCTATCTGTAAAAACAATCAAAATTATGTCACACGCTAATCTATACCACTTGCCTACAAACCAGTAGATCTGTATGTCTATGACTATTTGATCATGTAAGACATCTTATAAAATGTTATGTACACTGACCTTAGATAAATTAATGCAAATATATAATCAATTATCAAAACGCAATAAACATAATATTCCATACTCTATATCTATAACGAAAGCCTGTCACATTAGAATTGAGAGGTTAAAACCTGCAGACTTTTCAACATCAATAAAGTACAATAAACTTCTCACAAGCACGTACGACACCGTTTGCAAATAGTGTGAAGTCGATATAACTGACACCATTTATTTACATAAGATAGAATAAATCATCAAGACGTCAATAAAATAAGTGTGGGTACGGCGTCAAATAGGTCCGGCATTAACATTAATATCGATAATGAAAAAATATGATCTAAAACTATTAAAATATAATTCGAAACACTTCCTTACCCTGCATCAGTCAAGAAGAGATAAAACTGCCATAACAAATCTCATGAATTGTCGAATATTTATATATGAGTTTTTAAGCTGACCAGCTGTCATTTAACAGCTGTTAATTTTTGTTGGTTAGGTTGGTAAAAATTTCAGTTTCTGCTACATTGGTATCAGCTCCAGAATTGGTTGGGTTAGGCTAGGTTACTTGGTGGGACGGGTGGGATGTTTAATACTGTCCCTTCAAACAAAAAATAGAAGCATTACAGTTGACTGTAAAATAATTTTATTACTTAAAATTATAAAGTTATACTATGTTACTATTTGTTCCGAGTCAATTAACGAACTTCCGCCGTTGCTTGGCACATCAAGGGTCGCAAACTTTCTCTAAACAGAGAATGTCTTTCACCATGAGTTATACACAGTATCGCACTAGCTTCTTTGAGTTTTTCCAATGCACACTTTGACTCTCCCAAATACAAAAGAATTTTTCCCAGCATGAGATGCAACAATCCAGTTAAAGGGTGCACATGTCCATAATACATCCTGAAAGATGAAACACTAGTTGTAATATCTAGCAGATAAATGTAGCTGTTTACAATTACTTACAGGTACCCTGGAATTAATTGTATAGCGTAAGCTTTTGCATCCTCCCAAACATTTAAATTTACAGCAGCTTCAAATGCTGATTCTATGGTACGGACACGTTGTAAATTAAAAGGATGCAGGATACCCTCCTGCTTCATTAGGCACATTTTACTAATGTCTAGATCTGATAGTATTTAATTAAGCAAATCTATAGTATAAAACAGTGGAGTTTAGAAAAAAAATAATTCATGCTTTGCAGAAAGGATACAAGCCATGGACTTCATATTTTGTAAATGGTGAGCAGTAAACTCAGTAACTTGGTCAAACTTTTCTTTAAATCCATGAGGAAACTCCTGACCACAGTCTGAACACACTCGTATGTCAGGGGAACAGGGATTTGTACAATTTCGATGTGGACAAGTAGCTGCTGCAACGAATGGCTCTGGTTGCAAACATCTTTGGCAGTTGCACCAAAAGTAATACGAATCCTTCAACTCTGCTCTTCTATCCTCAGTTGAATTGAGTAAGTCAATGTAGGATATTCGTATCTGTTTATTTGGTTGGCATATATTGTTTGGAATTAGAGCACATCAGACATAATACAGGGTAAAAGAATTGGACGAATGGCAAGAAGGAAAAACAAAAAAATAACTATAAAATTTGGTAACGTTAAAATCACACACTGTCAATAATTATTTCTCTAAATATAACGGGTTAAAATTAACTCAACAAAAGCATCATGCATGTTTCAAAACCTTCGGTTATTGGCCATTAGCTGCAAGATCCGTTAATAAACAGCAACGAACAATGTTCACCACTGTCTGAATCTAATAAAAATTTGCGAAACGTAAAAATGATTCCGCGATTGAAACTTGTTCAATTTTATTCGATTTTGATGAATTTTTCTTACCTGGGACCAATCTAGGCGAGGGAGATCTTGTAATGTTCGGATTATAATCGTGGTACCTTCGAAAACAGCTATTGCATTTGGGATACAGCTATGGTCTATTATGGAAGGACCTAAATATATACCCACAGCAATACTATTCATATCTGGATCCAAAATATTAAATGAATTCACACATATTCGACCATATATCCCCATCAATTCAGCAGAATTTGGAATAAGTGTTTTTCCAAGATATTCAAACAAGACTCCGCAGAGAGATGTAAAATGCTCCATCCGTTTTTTGTCTTGCTTTATATCTGAATAATCTGTAAAGGTATACAACCGTTATAATACATGTTTATCCATTAAGATAATTTCTTAAGAATGAAAATCATATCTAAAACCTTACGTGACATCAAGTCCTTAAATTTCCTGTAATTTGTTTCTGTATAATAACCAACTTCGTCAGCTCCTCCATTCTTTAGCTTGACAATTATTCGTGCCATAAGCCGAGCAGCATCTGGCAGAACGCGAGGAGATATTCGTTTCAAGTTGGGGCATTCTGATTTATGTACACTCCAAGATTCCCTCTGGCAAGTACGATCACAATAATATACATACTGACAACCAGAACATTTAGAGAGTTTTCCACTGAAACATTTCAGAGACCAATTTCTCATTTTAGCAATACAATATACCTCTTTATCTTTGATGCACAAACAGTTCATGTATTACTCCAAAGGCTAATAAAAATACAATACAAAAAAAACTTTACACAAACTTTGTAAAATATTCTTCCACTTTAAAGAAGTACCTTTTTAGACAATTGTCACATCGACTAAATCTGTGTTTGGAACTGAGCACAAAGGCAAATGGTTTGGCAGTGATAATAGTTGATCCGTTTTTGATGGTATCAACTTTCTCTTTCATTTTATCAATGACAGATCAGACCAAAGGCAGAATATTCAATTTTCCACAAGTACGTAGTATATTTTTCTCGATCCTCCCATATACCATAAATTATCGCACACGAAGTACAAATGATCACTGTTTACAACTTCGAAATCACGCCTTCAGTGTGACATTTTAATAATTACTAGACAACAATAAACAGTATCGATAACCTGTTTGAAACAGTTAACTAAAGATTACGTAGAGATAACGAATGAGACAACCCACCATCTAGATGATCTGTCTTCAAAAAAAAAAAACCATGATGGACTGTTTACGAATGCTGCAGAACCTTTCACGTGTTACATAAAAATATGACAAAATAATCATAATATTTGCATAATTACACTTACGGTTTTTTGAAAATATATTTTTACCTGTACAAACAGTTGTCACAACGTTGAATTCGTAATACAGAACACAAAACATAGGCAAAAGGTTGACCAGTTAAAATGGTCGTTCCTCCGGCCACTGAACTAGATCTGCAAATCTTCCTGGTTTTCATTTTCGATAAGAAAATTCTCTTTCTTTGAGCTTCTGTACAATATAAATGCAAGGAACTGACTGTAGACGCGCAACGATATAATGTCGGCTATCTTCTGGTTCTTATACGTTTCGTCAGGCAAGTTTAACTGTGTGCTATTTTGAGTAAGTATAATTTTAAACTGCATTATTAATAGAAGTAATAAGTGCCTTTCACCTGGCTATTTGTTAATAGGGCTGAGCAGTGCTCCAAATTATTTTTATAAAGTACAAACAGGGGTCGAGTAACAAATTGAATATTTATTTACAATCATATATCTTTTGAGTGATTTTACCTTTTACTGATTCTCACTTGTAACTTCATTATAATTTCCATTATTTATCTTAGGAAAGCCAGAAATGTTTGTGACAATACAGAGATCAACAGTGAATTTAATGATTACTTTGCTATATCGTTTGTTAAACTTAAATGCTACTGTACTATGCATACAACATATACTTCTATTAGAGAGAAATTAAAAACACACCAAAAAAATATATTTTTCATAATAAATGTACTGCCATATGTACAATGCCATTTACTCTTGTAGTATAAATTAGTCTTCATTTGTCTCATATTTTTGCTTTTACTTTAACATCTGTTTCAATAAAACGTTGTTTTCCGACGGTATTCTCGTCGTTATGCTCATAATATTTATGCTTTTTTTTTTAATATAAATTGTAATGTATTAACATTAACAGTAGCAGCGTAGCGTTCTTCCGTGTCACAATAATAACCTAAATCCATTTATTCATGCACAACGGCGTTTTCCTGCCGTACAGTCATCTCTGATGTTTGCTATCATAGCCCGTTTGGCTGTTGGTTGAACTCGCGGAAATGGGAATGAGAAATGTTCTTCTTTATGTTCTTGATGATTTAATGGCAGTCACATTTCTACCACTTCTTTTTGTGTTCATCCATAGAAACTCCACCAGGTCCAAGGGAGACTATCATTAGAAGGCCACCGATCACTGATAATGTCTGTAATCAAATCGTGATCTTGTATAATCTCCTTAAATCAATGGATTCAATCAAATTATTGACATACGTATTTGATTTTTGCTTACCTGGAAGAAGTCATATTTAAGGAAGTCTCTGAGAGGTTTATAGTCAGGAATGGTCCACCATGCGTTGTGATAAAAGTTCAAAGCAGACAGTAGAAGGACAAGTAGTAAAGCACTGAGCTTTGTTTTGTACCCAATAGTCACTAAAACCATAAGAATACTTCCAAGAATATCTTGGAGTATTTGGAGAAAAGATATTTCAAAACGTATTAGGGTGATGAACATGAAAGCGAGGAGAACCCTTCCAGCAAGTTGTAAAAGGTTTTTAGGTTTGTTGTCACCAAGTGTTGGTACTCCAGCAAATAATGACCTTCCTTCGACTCTGGATTCTGCGAGGACCAGTAAGAGAGCACCAATAAGTGCAAGGTTCCTGAAGAGGAATTGCATGTCCCACAGGATACTGTATGCAAATGTCTGTAGCACAACTATGAAGAAGAGGACTCCACAGGCTATGCTCACTCGCCATCTTCCAATGACCATTACGCAACCTCCGAGTTGGCCAATGAAATTAATCAGGACAAAGACGGTTGCTAAAAACTGTCCACAACCCCATGACAAGTGCATGTATTCCCTTTGTTCGTTCCATTGAAACCACATTCGCAATCCATCCTCTAAGAATGTGGCAATCAGACATAATCTTGCCAGTGTTGGCAATATGTGTTTTCCATTTCGAATCACCTGTTAAATTATACAAAAAAATCACTTGTCACTCCATGACAAATGGAAATTCTTTTTAACATCAAATATATTATACAAGCACATGTAACAATGCATAAGATGGATTAGGTACCATTATCATTGAATAAAGTATAGATTACTTAGATAAGCTTATAACTATCTATTCTCTAAAATAAAAGGCAATTATGGTATATGAAATATAATCACTAATTATGAACTCTAAATGAAATTAATTAAAGGTAAGCTACTATGAATAACAGATTTCACCTTTGATAACACATTATATGTATGGTCAAGTAAAGTACAGGGGGGAATTTGGAAAGTTATGGAATCAGGACCCAAATTGAAAGTGGGACAAGCAATCAAGAGTACAGGCAGCAATATATATTAAGCAAATATATATTTCATAGTTTGACGTACGATACGATAATGAGAAATAAATAAAGGTTAAGAATAACGATAGCACATTTTAAAATATGTAATCATATCGTGATTAGGTCAAAATCTACACGAGAGTATCAATTTAATCATAGTCCCAAGGCGATAACCTTAACTCTACGACGATCAGCAAGACTCTATATAATAATTTACAAGATAGAAAAGTCGTCTTCGCGTCATACAAATAATAATCTCAAAGAAATAAACAAGTAAATGTAAAAATACATGAATCAAGTGTGCCAAGCTGCTTGTACGATGACGTTGACAGGAGTAACATGCTCGCGGTTAAAGAAGAAAACTCGGAGTATTTTGTTAATGAAAATTGAACCGTCACAATAAGCCACCATAAGCAAATCAAATTAATTTTTATTATTTTATGTGTTTCACCTGATCAGCTATTTCCTCCGCCCTCGAGACCACCTCCTGCTGGATCACCATAGCGTTTTATTCATAAAACCGATAAAAAGCACTCATACACGCAACCTTAACGCGCAAGCGCTGAACTTCCTTCGACACGACTGCACCAGTTTACAGGAGCCACAAGTTGCGAGAATTTGCCCCACTGCTTCTGGCTACTGGCGACACTTTATGAATGATGTGGAATTTCTTCTAGCGCACCACTTCCGCTGTCTACGTGGTCAAATTCTGGCTACTAATGAACTATTGATGCCTTCTTGGCAACTATATAATGTGGCAAATAAGGAAAGGCGTTTCTCTTGAACTTTTTCTATTATTTTGGCAAAAGTAACGGGATTTTATTTCAGGTACTTAGTGGAAATGGTTATTTAAATTACACTACGATTCAGCGCCATGTGTACTACGTTAGGCAATACATGTGTTGTTTTGCTTCCTCATAGAGGAAGCTATGTGATGGTGGAAAATTTTCTTTTCGAGATTTTCATGTCACCATGTTCAGAATGTGCCAAAATGTCGAGAAAACACATTTGGAGAAAATGTCCGGATGTATGTGTGTATGTGTAATGGCCTCCCAAAATTCAAACGTGTATAACTCGAGAACGATTTTAGCTACAGTCCCCAAATTTTGCAGGCATCTGCAGCTTGTATAATCTCTTCATTGACTATAATTTTCCTCGTGATTGCAGCTGCGGCTTGGATTTTATGTCGTTTTCAAATTACCAAAAAAAAAGTACGTTATCAATCTAGGGATCATAAATTTTGTGATACTCGTCTAAATAGTTCTTGACAAAGAGATTTGTATCCAAGGTTCGTTGATGTTGCGTTTGGGCCGAATCGATCGAGAAGTTTTAATTTTACATTTTGAGTTTTTCGAAAAACCAACTTTATCGCTGTAACGAGTGCTTACTTCAGCGAATCAAACCGCAATTTCGCATTAGTCATCGTAGCGAAGAGGTCAAATTTTGGTTGTCCGAAAACATTCACTGTTTGATCGAATGCTTCGCCCGCGATTTCCCACTCGATATCAATATTTCTCGATCTTGATTCCCTATCCGCCTCTATGTTCTCCTTAGAATCAGTACAAGACGCGAATATCTACAGTTTTGTATTTTCACACCAGATCAAACATTTTCTGGCTAAGTCATTGAGATATGGGTACTGTGTATTACCCATTTTATTTACGTAGACGATCGCAGTACTATTATATGTATACGCGGAATAAGAGTCACAGTTCAGTGGTCTGAAATAAAACAAAATCTCCACAAAATCGCTAATAGCTCTGTATAATTAATCGAATATGATCTTTCTAGTTCGTTACAGAAACCGTGGAGACTTTTGTCCCGCGTAAAAAAACACCATTCTGAGTCCGGTGCATCGGTGTAAATTTCCCTGGTATAAATTAGAGATTTTATTGAATTTACCGTCGTTGGTAAGGCTTCAATCCACTACCTCAAATTTCCGCGAGCTTTCTCTGGGAGATTCAAAATCTGTTCGTAGTCATCCTCCGCAGTTTCTAAAGCTAGTCTTTGCTCTCTCGAGCACTTTCGTATAGCCCTAATCATACATCACTGCTAGGCATCTTGCAACTAGTCTACCGATTATATCTGCCAGATCTCTAATCCTTCAGTGCAATCTCGAAACGAAGGATTATATCCAATTCCAGACATAAAGAATTTGAATTTAACCCGAATCCTAAGGGTCGGTCTTTATAAAAAAAGACGATACAGAAGAAAGGAGAAATGTAGATGGCTGAGAAAGACAGATTCGAAGGCCAAGGAAACACGAACACAAAAACCGCAGATCAAACCACGGGGTAGACGAGTGTTAGTCAGATAGCGGAGCCCGAGCGAGGTTAAAAACAGCATTACATCGAAATAACGCGAAAGCGGTTCTAGTGTAGTGTGTAATGAGATAGGATAAGTTTTAGTCGATAAGAATTGGACACTATCTATCCACGGGCGTGTTATGAAAGATTTCCCTTCAATAAACAAAAAGAAAGTTGTTAGACACAAAGGCCAGTAGTCTTTACCAGTAGCTCCTTGATGATACATTCAAAGAAAAAAATTATACGAATATTCGTGAGAATATTTGTCTATTAAAATGTCGCTTACACAGTACTAACAAGTTATTTTTTTAAAATTTATAATTAGAATGTAAATATACATTACGTATGATTTTCATTTAAAGAATTTTTGTATATTTTATTTGTAGTAATAATTACTTTTCAATGTGTTTCATTTATCCATTATAATCGTTATTTTTCATTATTTATAATTATTATCAAATAATCTGTGGTGGACGCGATACGCTGATTCCTATATTACGAAGATGAGGAGTTGTCACCATTACTATCCAAATATCCTCCAGATCCATTTACAACAAAGGACGTTCCTAAACCATATAGATGACCGCAATATTTCGCATCGTCGATGTTGTCTTCGAAAAACATCTAAAATACAATTGATTCATCATTGAGAAATAGGCATAAGCAGTGCAGTGCTTTTTAGCCCTTTTTAACCGAACACTGTACCATCATGCACACTATCCATAATTAATAACAAACAGAATCGTTTATTATCATTAAATAGTTATACCTCTCGCATTTTGAAGAAAACCATGCCGGTAAGAAGAGAATCTGAACCAGCTTGATGTTGCGGCCCAACTCGTTGAAGTTCCAATTGTTCAGCTACTTCCTGTAGGCCCCCCTTTAAATTCTTACAGGATTTCATGAGATACTATAACAGATTTAACATAATTCAAAATAATTAAATAATTCATCACATAAATATTTTTAAGGAATTATGCAATTTTTATTAACTTACTTTAACATCGTAGACTGTTGGAAAAAATATCCTAAGAAGCTCAAAAAATTCACTTTCTTCTTGCGGAAGATTTTGATCAGTAAGAAGTTTAAGCAAATAACCAAAGTCGTATCCCGAATGAAAAGATAGCCATTTTATATCATCAACCAGGACAATGCCTGATGTCATAAGAAGCTCTGCAAAATCTAGAGGATCGATACCTTCTTCCTCATGTTTTTTAAATTGAATTCCGCTGTTTTGTAGCATATCTATACTGTCCTGAGCGTACATATCTTCTCTGAAAAATGTATTACTTTAGTGATCACATAATTAAGCTATTACCAATTCTTGAATAAGGTACTCACTGCAAATTAAATTTGAAATTAAATTGCCATGTAGTATAACTACCTCCCGGTGTATTTCCCGATTCGTCCAGAAAAGTAAGACCAAGTTGGATTATTCTTAAGAGATCAACATTACAGCGCAGTAATTGATATTGATAATCTGCACTAGTTCTGAATTCACCTAAAATATATCACAATAATTTTACTTTCAAGAATAAATTGAAATGCGATCAAAATTAATATTATGGTATTTCGAGCGCAAAGAAGCGTTTTTTGTAAATAGCTAAGCGAGATACCTAATATTCTCGAGCATACAAAGCCATGCTGCATGAAATAATCTTAGATTTCTTTATTAAAATGCATAATAAATAAATTGTGCGTAAGTTGGAATTTGTATATAATTTTTCAATTTTCAATATTTTTTTTTCAAAAATCGAATCCTCTACTTTTTTAAAAATATTTTACGAAACAAGAAAGTTTCAATAAAAGGCTCTGTTACTTCTGGCGTCATCACGCTATATGCGTGAGGTAAATGTTACTATGAATCAATTAATATACAGTTATATTTAAAATAACTATGTATATGTACGTGATCGAGCCTCACCGAGACTCTTAATAAGAATAATAAAATAAATCCATACCTATAGGTCGAGCAACAACACCAGGAAACTCTGTATCCATAGCGATATACTGATATTGTTGCACAACTTGACGAATAGTATGAAATTCTTCTTCTAAGTTGTGCCCCCAAACATCTCGTATTCCACATTCTTCATTGCTGGGCATAATCGCCCCTCCCTTCTGCTGCCCTATAGGGTTTATTCCACCTGAAATATTTAATATACAAACGAATATATTGCTTTGAAAATTTCTGAAATGTTCACCTTGAAACCATATCCTTATTTCTTAAATCACTTTAGCCTTTTTAAGATTTAAACAAATGACATTGAAGTAAGTGACATAGCTTTTACAAAATGTTGTATTTAATATAATCCAGATATATTATGCACCAACACATTTTATATTATTGATAATAGTGATAAAAAATTAATCTCTACTCCATACTAGTCACAAAAGTTGCACTAATTGTAAGCCAATCTCTCAAACTGATATTTTATCTCCACTTTCACTTCCATAATATAATTGCTAACTACATATCCTTTTGCATTTAAAATATGATTCGGCATGAAAGAAATGTTAATTGGTATTTTATGTAATTTTTTGTCTATATAATAGGATTTATGAATGCTTTTGCTGTCACAACTCTGGCTTTAAAGTATTATATGTGTTACAATAGACCATTAGCAGTAAAGGGTCAGAAATAGTAACCATATAAGATGAAATATACCTGTCACTCTTTTCTTTTGCTAAACATGATTGAGATTATTGAATTATTATCATTAATATTAATTCCATTCCTATTAAAATTAACATGTTTCATGTTAAATAAATATGAAATGAAATTATTGCTGCATATAATATAGAAATCAGTTTCATTTAAAGAGTAATATAAAAGTAGTAAATACCTGTGCAAGTATTGCATGATATATTATATGAAATATAAATTACTTTTACAACACAATTATTGGAAATAGAATATACTGTAATGTTGATACGTCAGCAATTGAAATTGATATTACAAATTTTACAGACCATAATAGTTATATGTATCCGCAAAAATTGCATTGTGTCAATGCACTATAATAGTATAATTTATATTTAACAACAAATTTTACTCAGATATATTATTAAATTAGTATGAATGAAATAAGAGTGTTCTATAACATTACTCAAAATATGGACGTATTGGACAATAAAACATTATATAAGTATACATTTTACTTTAAAATGTTAATTAGATATTTCTATGTTAATACATACCAGTAGCTGAGGGCATAAGGGTAATTATTATATTGAACAATAATATTGGAAATATTCAGAGTTCCCTTTGTCAAGCGTGTATTAACTTCATATCACTGTAAATAAAACAACTATATTATGAGAGCGTTCTTAATTTCATAACTATCAATTGAAAGATGCTGCATAACTTAGTTACATTTAACCCTGGACGTACACACCCTTTTTCGAGGTACACAATGTATACACCAGGATCCAATGGATTCCATGTCTCATTTCCACACTGCTCGCCTTCTAGGTATAAGATTTAAACAGATCAGATGATTATATTTGTAAATTTTAGACTATAAACATAGGACTCATACAATTTAACAACCATTATATTTTTTATATCAATTTAGTACTGGTTACAAGTTAAAAGTGTGCTCGCAAATAACCAAAATGCATTAGGTGCATTGAGATCCAATAAACTCCAGTGTGTATGTACATCCAGGGTAAAGTACCATAATCATACAGTGCTGTTTATTTAATAGAATATACAATAATTTAGTTAAATTTCCAATTTAAGTAAGAAATAAAACATTTATTAATAATATTTTATATGAATTCATTTTAACAAAAAGAAGTCAGTAAAATCTATTGACAAAAATATTATTCTTGATATGAAATGAGGTTATATTACTTTTTTTTTTTTATGACTTAAGCTTTATAAAGACCTAATATAATATGAAATTAGTACCTTTGCACAAAAGCAATATATATGCCACTATATTTTAGCATAAAGACATTTGATTAATCACCTCAACACTGAAATAATTGTTAATTCTCTACTGACGACATAAACAGGTTAATCAAGTTTCCAAATTCAGCGCCAAAGCTCTTCGTAATCACAGATAGTCAGTCATCTTATTCGCATAGCAGGTCACGGCGATTTCCAACGATTTCACAGGACATGGGATTAGCCACACGCGTCAGAAAACTTGAAAATCTGACCAATGAGAAGTCTAGTTTTTTTAAGGTTTCCAACATTCCAACGTGAATGACGACAAAGCTGAACAGTTTTCGAACCTATTTGAAGTTAACCGGCGAAGTTTTAAGCCCTTACACACAAAATAATGTAATGACGTAAGCGTAAGAGTAAGGAAACCAACCAATCAGAATCTAGTACTGTCACCTTGGTGGCTGTAGAGGGAGGGATACTAGATTCTGATTGGTTGGTTTCCTTCCGCTACGTCTTACGTCGTTACGTTATTTGTGTGTGAAGGGCTTTATTTTAAAAAATTTTTCTTATTCCAATCGCTTGATATTCGTTTGGTAGTTTGTAAAAACGGTTGATAGTCAATAGGTTTTTCAGAAAATCCAATTCAATGTGAAGTTGGCTGACATTTCCTTACTTCTTGTCCAGAATCAGCTTTTTTAAGGCACATAAGTTTTTATGAAAACTATGATTAGAAGTAGATTGTATCGTATGTATCGATTGAGATCCTTGATGGGACGAACTGACTGTCACAACTATTGTTTTCACGGCAGATTTGACTGCGTGAATCTGCCGAGGTAGGTTCGTTAGCAACGAAAGCTCTGATGAGCACTCCAACGGTGTTCAATCCTTTGTATTGAAGTTGACTTTTGAAGTGTGATAATGTATGGATTTTTGAATTATATAAAGGCTTTAGAAATAAGGATGCAGGTGCTATTAAAAAACACCATAACTAACTTTATTTACTTTAATTATAATATGGTTTAGGCTAAATCTACTATAACTGAATTTAGCTAATCGACACTCCGGTACAGACTCGACGTACATCATTCAAGACCAGAAAATGAACTGAACTCATGATACCCAAGAGAATAGTCCTGAATAGTCCTCTGTACCTCTCATCCATGCATCCGCACTTATACACATTCATATGTATTAACTATTACCCTTTGTGGAGGGCCACCATGTGGCGCCTCGCTTTCCGGGCCTAGTTCTTAGGCATAAAGAACTCAACCTATTCTTAGTTTATTTGGGAAGCATATGGACAACGTCAACGCTCGCCCGCCGATCTTCTGAAATTACCAGACTTGTTACCGAGAGTGAGAGTTCCTGAGAAACTCACACGCAGTGAAGGTAACAATAAACAAATGACTCATGTGCATATTCTTTGTGGTCCATATGTTTATGTACATTTACGAGCTAGAAAGCTTTTCCCGAATTATTTAGGATATATCTTATTTATATGTTAATGACAGACTGATAATTTGAAAGTATTGAATTCTGATTTGGGAGAGGAATCGTCATCCCATTTTAATTTCTCACTTGAACTTGCCGCTGAAGCCTAGTGAGATTATTTATTACTAGGTCGAAGCGCATGTGGCTTTTTATTCATTTTTATAGCAAACGGTTTACTACCAAACATTTCTATTATTTAATTCATAACTATCAAACGATTTTGCATTAAATAAGCCTCTGAAAAGCTAAATCCGATTGGTACCAGCAAACTTCACACCAGATTTTGAATTTTTGTTTGATTTATTGGTAGTTCCATAATTGATACCACAGAGGGGCCGATCCCCGTCGTTTGAGGGTGACAGACGTGACAGAACAGTAAAAATGGCTGATAACAAGGAACCTCCTCCATTCTACGAAACTCCAAATGCTGATAAAAATGAAGATTTAGACGATGACGATGATATTTTTGCATCTGCTATTCAGGTATGACTTGATCTTTAAATTAATCGAATATATAGAATTATTGAGTTACTGAATTACGGATAATTAATAAATGGAAATTTGCCGCACACGTATCAGATTCGTTTATGCTTATTATCTGTTCGATTTGAGTTAAAATCCCTTAATTACCAAATTATATGTCTATTTTACTTCTGAATGAACAAATGATAACGTTAGAAAAAAATACTGATATCTTCAGAAGTTTATTAAATATTACCTTTATTGTGGAAGTCGTAATTACGGTATAATCATTTTCCTGTATTTTATATAGTTTAATCCCTAAGTTCACAGTAATACCTATCACTGTTACTAGGAGCCAAGTCAACTGGATGAGAATTCTTCTTATAATGGTATATCAACAAAGCATGCAGAATTACCTAAATTGACACTACATGATACAGCAGATGATTATTCTGTTTCTTCGATATCTAGTCCAGTTCCTGGACCCTTGAGTTCTCCTTCGGGTCCAATAGAAAGCGATATTGGAGATTTAGACGAAGTGCCTATTAACGATAATGCTGATACATTGTTATCAAATGTCATGCAATCTCAATCATTAGAAGAGGTAAATAATTTTGAAAGGTCATTGTGAATCCTACATTTCTCTTAGAAAATAATTCTTACAAATGTTGTTTATATTTTAGGTATCGACTGATACATCTGATGTATACATTAAGATTACTATCACAGCAGCCCAGAAAGTTGGGGATGGCATGGGAGCATACGTTGCATATAGGGTGGAAACCAAAACAAATATGCCAATATTCAGAAAGAGAAGTTTCAGTGTTGTTAGACGATTCAGTGATTTTCTTGGTCTACATGATAAATTAATAGAGAAGTATCTCAGAAATGGAAAAATTATACCTCCAGCACCAGAGAAAAGTGTTATTGGTATGATGAGTTTATCATAAATATATTATTAGTTGTATAATTTTTAGTAAATATTTATTATATACTATAACTGGTATAATTCAAGGCATGACCAAAATAAAAATGTCTGGAGATAAAAATCAAGATCAAAGTTCAAGTTCAACAGAATTTATTGAAAGACGAAAAGCAGCTTTGGAGAGATATTTAAATAGAACTGCTGCACATCCAGTCCTAAGGATTGATCCTGATTTCAGAGAATTTTTGGAGGCTGGTGCGTTTGATTTATATACTATATCAGCATTTATTATATTGAGCGTAATAATTATTTTCTATATTCAGATATTGAATTGCCAAAAGCTACCAACACATCTGCACTAAGCAGTGCTGGGGTAATGAGACTGTTTAATAAAGTCGGAGAAACAGTTAACAAAATTACGTACAAAATGGATGAAAATGATTCGGTAATGAACATTATTGTTTCTAAACTAAATAAACTATGCCGTTAGTAAGTATTGATTCAATAAAATGAGATCATTCTTTTTGCTCCCATTAGGACGGTAAGGTACGTTAGCCTAAATTGTTTACAACAAAAAAGAAAATTTAAATTGAAAATCGCCAAAGTCAATAATACTTTGTATTAATGTTGTGTCTATCGTGATATCGACCCATCCCTGTACTTTGTATTAAACCTATTAATTCTCATTAACTGTAATATGTTTCTGCTCACGTTGTGAAATATTTCTTTATTTTCAGTGGTTCGAAGAAAAAACTGCTAAGATAGATTCTCTAGATACTCAGTTGCGCGCCTTGCATGGTGCAGTGGATGCCTTAACAAATCAGAGAAGAGAATTGGCATTTTGTACAGGTGCTACTGCACGGTCCATCGCCGTTCTCGGTCATGGCGAACCAGGTGCTTCATTAGGTAGAGCTCTGGCTCAGCTCGCCGAAACTCTAGAGAAAGTTGAAATTGTTAGGAAAGCACAGAGTAACAGTGATTTCTATCAATTTGGTGAAATGCTGAGAGATTATGTGGCGTTGATTGGAGCCATAAAGGTATTTATGTTTCAGTATATATTTAATTATTTGTAGAGCTGGGAACTACTTCTCTTTGTAATTCAAAAAATCAAACAACGAGAGCTTATCTATAGTTATTTGTCGTACTTTCCATTATTCTTGATGAAAAGATCTTTATCAATTAGAGTTGAGCTCTTGCTTAAATTCCCTCAATTATACGGCACGGTTCTAGAAGAGTTAAAATATCGTTGTTTGGCCATAATGAAAGTACATTGAGAATCAACATTGTTCATTTGTGTGTCTGATGCAAGAAACCAAACAAACTAACTCTGTTCCTCTTCTAATATCGTTATTTGCTGTTTTTGTAAATATATATAATGACTAACGAAGAGTCCTGATGTTAAACAGTTTTTATATAAATAATTTTTTGATTGTATTGCTTTAGACAAATTTTTTATTTCTGAATTGCCATAGAAATGATAGAATGTTATTTCATGAATTTTTGTGTAGGCGTGTGAATTCACAGCCATATTGAATTTACTTGAATGGCAACATTAACTCTTGCACATTTTTCAATATTGGTACCATAATGGCATTTAAATTACAGGATGTATTTCACGAACGAGTAAAGGTGTTCCAGAACTGGCAACATGCTCAAATGATGTTAAACAAAAAGCGAGAGCAGAAGGCAAGGTTAGAGCAATCAGGCCGCAGTGATAAGACTACTCAAGCAGCGACAGATGTCATTGAGTGGACGTCTAAGGTTGAAAGAGGTCAAGAAGAGTTTGATAACATTTCCAAAATGATAAAAAAAGAAGTGGAGCGGTTTGAGCTAGTCAGGGTTGATGATTTTAAGAAACAATTTATTGAATATTTGGAAGCTATGTTGCAGCATCAGAATCAACTTATCAAACATTGGGAAAGTTTTTTGCCAGAAGCACGTGCAGTTGCATGAAAATTTGCCGCTATGATAATAAGATATAAATATATATATATATATATAAACACATATGTATATATATATACATATAGAGATACAGCATATTAATTAACATGTAACAACGCATATTATATTATACATAATGATAATAAAGTATCTTTTTCAAGCATTATATGATAACTCATTTAACAAAATTCGTAACAATACAGTGTCATCGTTTAATGGAGATTATGCAAATATCAAGAGACTCTACAGACTTCCAACGCAATTTATATACATAGTTTTACTAAGACGCTAAACTGACTATATTTATTGAAATTAAAGAAGTTTCTTATAGAAAAGTAAGACGAATACAATGGAAAGTGAGAGGGAACAGAGTGAAACGAGAAGAAAGAAATGAAGTTAGAAATAAAGAAGTGAAGAAGTAGAAAAGTAAGGAATAGAGATATAAAAGTGAAGAAGAAATGAGAAAATAGATAAATGAGAGAGCGAAGAATGAAAGAATAAAGAAATAAGGAATTAAAGAAATGGATATGAGGGGTATTTCCAGGAGACCGGTTCGAGGAAGAATGAGCGCTCCGAGTCCGGGCACTGCCTCAAGCGCTCCCCTCACCATCTGCCTGTTCCCACTTGCCGAGTACTGCGCGACGAATTTGCGCGCACACAATTTTGGGCAATTTCCAATTTCTAAGTGTTAATATTTTACTTTATTGATTTAATTAATTATTTCAATGTTCCAAACACCTAATTTATTGATACTTCAATTTGAACGTAATTTATTTTCGACCCATTAGATTTTGATTTAGCCTCAATTTTATACTTTGAATAAATTTTGAAAGTAAATCAAGATCCAACAATATTTAGTAAAAATTGAGGTGCTACACGTGTGTCAGGTTGGCACTACACTTTCTTAAAAATGTCTTAAAAATGTTTCAACAATAGGCTTTTTCAATAGTTCTTGAGAAGTTCTATACTGTCGATCAATGACACAAAGCGTCTACAGAAATTCACTTTTTGTTATTAGCTGAGAGTTGCGTTTGAATGTGCATTTGACGAGCGTAACTGGGCTCTTACTAGGTTTGCTGGATCAATGCTAAAATGTCGAACTTTGAGATTAATTGAAATCGACACCATTAGGATTGATCTATCAAAAAATTTAATAATAAAAGATTAGTCTATGAAATAGTGTATTACTCTGATGTCGTTTCACGACAGACCAGTTTTATGTTTGAAAATATTAGGAACCCCGTTTAGGCACCCACAAAAAAACGTCTCTTCTCATTCAGAATACCTTAACACCAATTGTTAGTTTATGTATATTCTAATTAAAATTTTCAAATAATTAATTCACTGCAAAATTTTAGATTTATTCTTAGTTACATTTCATAATATTAACAGTGCATCATTTTAAGATCAAACATATGCAAACGTTACTCTAAAATATTGTACACCCAGAATCACACTTTTTCTGTAAAAGTCTAATGCTTTATTCGAAATTATAAATACGACAGATGCTGCTGATACAGACGTGTCTGATAACGGGGCATTATATTATACGTATTCGCTATGTGCTTCCGCACACAGATCACATCAGAACAAATAATACACGCTTAGATATTGGATCCGTGTACATATGTACATAGCCAATAAATGGATACATGGATATGCATACAAAATTTCAAACAAAACATTGATCCGATTGAATTACAATTTATATACAAAATTAAACATTAAACAAGCAGACTATCGCTTTCGGGTTTATTATAAAACCCATGAAAATTGTAAAGATCACGATTTCAATTGTCAGTGTCAATTTAATAATTTAAAAAAATATCAATTATCAGAATATTATGTGCCTGGTATAAGGTAGACTTACATACAGTAAAATCTCTCTATTAGTCCGTGGCCATCAACCACTTCATAGAACGTACTTCAGAAACATAATAAAAAAAGGAACCCCATTAAATAAACGTTTTACTGAGAATTCCTAATTATTCATTAGGATTCATAGCATTTATAACTAAATACCACTTGGTAACGATTAATATAAACACCCCTGTTTTTTCGAATTTTTAGTAGAAAGTGGGCAGCACCCTTAAAGTAAACGGGAGGCTGATCTTGGACTAAAGCACAGAGTGAACGGTTAGAGCAGAGGCAAATAGAGAGGTTTTACTACACATCCATTTTTTTGCGATATTTGTTTAATTAAAATTTTTAGTCTGGTAATAGCAAGAATATTATTATATAGTAATATTTTACCATAGCATATACTGTATAGTACAAAGTCCGATATAAATTTTTTTCAAAACTTGCCGACTACTACCTTCGACCGCTTCTTCAGCTTAATTATCAAACATTGAAAAACATACGAACTTTCTATTATTTACATACAGGTTCGTTAACCCTGCTGAATAATTGGTAGTTTGTTGAATTTTTGCAGTTAGGGGAAAAGTGGTAGTAGGCGACACTTCGAAGAAATTTATGTCCGATTCTTTACGTTTAGAAAACGCTATACACGTATACATCTGGTGGATTTACTAGGACTATTCTAAGACTGAAGATAACTGGACCCATACGATCACAATTGTGAGTCATATTCCTAATCACTCCCACTGCTACAGTAAACATTTTGACTCGGAACATTATGTACACAATAATCCTATTTTTCACAAGATTTAAAAGAATGTTTAAAGAAGCTTCTACCGATGGCACTAAGAGCTTCTCTTTGCTGGCGTTCCTCTGCAACAACGTTCGTGAACAGAAATTCGATCAGCAACGAATGATCTTCCACAACGTTTACAAGGAATAAGCTGGCTCAAATGGACTTGCCGGTTAGCTTCCGCCATCGCTGCTCGATGGGATGCTGCAATATCTTTACCAGAATTACCTGAAAATTAGAAATACAATTATGAATAGACTTCTCTTAATTATTGATATGATCGCGAAGCCAATGCACGTTTTGTAAACTTATGATTTTTAAAGACAAGATGGCTCTGGACCACTGGAAATATTTTAATAATTAAACTTGATATTACGTAAGTTTCTAATGCTGCATTTATAGGCACGTGATAATTACACTATTAATAAATCTCTACAGTCAATCCACGAGTAACGTATCGGATAGTAAGAAACTCAGACAGATATCTCTTAGAAAGTTTACCGATGACAATTGTATGTGCTTATTTAAAATGCTCTGAAAGAACATTGAACGTTATATTTTGTGACACGTCTAAATTAAGATTAATTCTTTGTGCGATATTTGAAATTTAGAAAAAAAACTATATTGAAAGATTTTTTTTCGTTATGACGAATGCAAAAGATGCGACTAATCGAATCGTATGGGAAAGATACATAATTACAGGGTTATTTTAATAGGAAAAAAAATTTCTTAATATAACAGACCAATTGACATTAACATTTAGCTATTGTTATTTGGGAATTGATTTACTCACCAATGATACTAATGTCTGGCTTCTGTGGTACGTTTCTTCGATAATTTGGCGGTAACTTTTCATTTTCCTGGTGCCACTTTTTCAAGCATTGTGGCTCGTGGATGACGATGCTTCTTGTTCCAAAATCCCGTCCACATAAATAACACGTGATGGTTCTTTTTTGTGGTATTTGCTAGAAATTATAGATCATTGATGTTTAACATTCAATTTGCTGGGTCGTGAATTTATAATCATGAGTTTTTTTTTTAATAAATCAATCAAGTCAATTAATTATGTACGTGTATTGTAATTAAGTACCGAAGGTGTCAGAATATTTTCTGCAGCAACTGACATCGTTTCGTCGGGAGTTGACGAGAATGTATCACCCATCGAGCGAGACGACTTTGCACATGTAAGTTTATGTGCCTTTAGGTCCTTACTTAGAAAACGGTGGCCACACGATTGACAGAGTACCATCAAACTTCTATTATTGGTACTGCTGGATATGGCTTTTTCCATTATCTCGATATTGTCCATTTTGACATTTGTGGACGGCTGCAAAAGAATAAAATTTCATATAGATAAAAAATAAATAATACTCAAAACTGAACAAAAAAAATGGTAAGAGACATACGAGGCTGATAGTTTAGTTAAGATTAAAAGCTGAAAAAAAACTGTCAGTCAGAAATAATAATTCTGATTCGAAATTGAGATTTCAAAGAAATTAAAAGTCAGTAGTGAAAATCAATTAGAATTTGCAGTTATATTATTAAATTCTAGGAAACGTCAAAGTTTTCATATAATCTAATAAACGTAAATTCATATTTTATTTTATTCTAATTTATTATCAATACTTCACGCGCTAGGAAAGGTCTTCCCATTCACCCCACAGCATTTTAACTCAAAATCGTGACATGCATTGTTAAAATACTGACTTTCTAACGCAGTAATGACTGCCGTACCACATACATATATATTACCCTTATATTCACGGAGTTAAAAATTGCTCCCGCAGGTGAATCTTTGCCACATTTCATTTCAAGACCTTGCCTTTAACTGTGGCAAAATATCGATCCTGTAAATTAACCGACGCGCAGTCTTTGGTTAACCTTTGACATATAGTCGGCGTCTATATACATCGGTCGATTTCTCTCATCGACCACCCGACCTCACGACTTAGAGCAACGATATTGCTAACAGTATTTTTTACAAAAATTGTACTTTTGTTTGTGAAAAGTGTATTACAGGTTAAAGAAAATTATAATATGCATTTTTGTGCCCAAATTTTAGACTTTGTTTATCGAGTAATTTAAAGAAAAAGAATTATTTAAAAATTCAGATAGAAGCTTTAAGATCGTAACTTTCGAATGATACAAATTTTAGCTTATATTTTTTTTATTTATTCGTCACAAACATTTGTGCAATCAAAGTCGAGTCTCTGGTCGTCCAGATAAATGTTGAATAGATAATTTTAACTATGTATTCTAGGATTTTTTCAAGTGTGCAGAAGTGAGGTTGGTCGCTGGGGAAATAAAAAGATACAATTTTTCAAAAATTAAACCTGTTCCAGATTTAAGGATGATTCTGTTTCAGGCCTCATATGTGTGCGTGCTTACGCATTGAACTTGATTTCTGCAATCTTTACTACAGATATGTTACATAATATTTATCTTTTACCTTAGGCAAGGCTTTGCAGCATCTTTCATGAACAGGCAGACGGTCAGGCAGAAACGTTCTTCCACATTTTGGACACGGTACGAGTTGAGCCTATTAAGAAAAGAAAATACGCTGCTTTTCATATTTGTACCAAATCTTAGATAATAAAAAAAGACTTATAGAAGAAAAGCTGTAGATTTTCTCATTCAACAATTTGAAATTTGACGTTCAAAGTTTTTAATTAATAATAATCGGAATCAATATGGTGGTTTGAAATGATTAATCTATCATGGTAAAATCCACAGTACAAAAATCGCAAGGACGTTCCTTGAACGTCCTATGGACATGCAAACGTCTTTTGAACGTCCCGCGAAAACTGTTGTGCTTTCCAAGGCCTTGGCGAAGAAAAAAATATTTTCATTTTCTTTTTTTCAGCAAGTACTATTTCATATATGCATACAACATACTTGACTATGTTTCCAAGCAGCTGCATTCCATTCAGAATCACGTGGTGACACATTTGGTCTTTGTGGTTTCGGACGTCTCTGCATTGATGGTAACGCATTGTTCTCTCGTTCCCATTTCTAAAATCAAATATAGAAATCAATAAAAAAAAAACATTCGAGTATCAAAATTACACCACATGTTTAACCGGCATATGGTAGATCGATTTTATTCATCATTTGAAAAACATTGAGTAGGGGTGCTCGCAGATACCCCACTAGACCTACTTAGCGCAATTATAATTGAAATTCATTTTTAATTAAAAATTGCTTAATATCCAATCACCATTACTTTACATGTCCCCATGTGTGTATAATTTATGCTATAAACTCCGTCAAGACGAAGGTGATCTTCTAGCTCGGTCTTATACACTTTAATGAGACTGCACATTAAACTCAAAGTGAAGTAACAATGACCTACAGTTCTCGAATCTTCCAGAAATAAAATATCGGTGAGTTAACCACGGTCTTATAACCCTCATTAAGAGTCACGATATTTTTTTGAATTCGATTAGTATAACCTAATTGTATATTAAAAATATTTCATTACTTTTATTAATTTTATCAGCCTTAGTTGATTCGCGCCGATAATATGTACAGAATGACTTGTATAATGATATTTATAAAGAACTGAAGACATAGTTCACGAGTTTGATGTTTTTTTTTTTCACATATGGGGCACAACGAAGTTCCTAGGAACGCACTACTATAGATATTTCACTGCGTAGATTATTTTTGCAAAATATATATTTGAATGGTTTTGTACTAAATATATATATTTTTCTATCTTAGGTTATACTTTTACGTTGTTGTATGGAAAACCACGTGCGATTTACTAAGTATTAACCGACTGTAGGAGCTATAAATATAATCAACATCCACATAGAACTCACCTCCATGCATTTAGGCTCGTGGATGGGAAAGCTGGCAGTACCAAATTCACGACTGCAAATATAACAAGTGACGGTCCTCGGTCTTCTTTTGGAGGCGGACATTTGAATTGAGTTTTGCTCTTCTGCCACAGACACAATATCACCTGAAGCAGTTGAAACTCCAATACTCGTTGACTGCTGATTCTGTACGCGGCTTGCGATACTTTTATTTCGCTCGCTTCGAAAATTTAACGGCACAGGTTTCTGAATCGTTTTGGGTATTGCAGTTCTAGATCTCGAATGTGAAAGGTTATCCCGTATTTTTGTCACAGTTCCTTTTGGGTGGCTATGAAAGCGCTCTGGCAAATCAGCTCGACCACAAGTCTTGCAAGGTTCTAGAATCCCTTTGGAGGGTCCTGCAAATATATCAACGTCCGAACCAATCAAGGTGGGTTTCCAGACGTTTTTCTTCCTCGCAACTGACAGAGAAGATATTTTTCCGAGCACGGCTCCGTTCTTGTTATTATTGCTGTCGAGATGCTGTTCCTCCCGTAGAAATCGCTTTGTAACTTTTCTTCCCACATATAGTGACTCCTGTTTATTCGCGTTACCGCTGTCGACTGGCGGAGTTGAAATTTTAACATGGGACAATTCCGAATCCGTAAGTGCCTCGAAGCTCTGACGTTTTTCTCGTACCAATGAGGAAACGTTAGAATTCGAGTTTTTTGTCACACCCACGGATTCTTGTCCAAGAGGCACACTCTGTCTACGGACTCCAGTCAACTTCCCACACAATGGACTTGCGCTTCGTCGGATTCGCGTTTTGTTGTTTGATAACAGTTCTTTGCTTAACATCGACATATCGAGCTTATCAACTAAATTTGGATTAAGGACACTGGGCTTCTCGAGATTCGCTGTTTTCGGTCTTCTCAATGTCTTTTCCACGGGGCGGCTCTTCTTAATTTTCGGAGGCCACGTATCAGTTTTATTCGAAGATTTCAATTTTCTTTCTTGATTCTGGTGCTTTCTCTCTGTTTAACATAAAGTTATATATATAAAACATACATTGTTAATTTTGTTGCATTATACACGGATATGCTTATGGTACCGTGATATTATTTTTATTTAATATTTAATCAACTTTATTGAATCCATTTAATAAGAAATAATATTACTAGTAATAAAAGAGTAAAATATAGTTGTAGAAAATCGTTGAGAGGAATGATAAAATGAACTGATGTTAGATTTATAGTAGATGAATAAAAAAACTTCTTAAAACAATTATTTTTTAGCGTGTCGTTATTATTTCTTATATTTTTAATTGCTTCCTTGTAGATTCCCATTACCAAGACGTGGATATTTCTTTAAATGTTTAGATTTTACATTAAAATCTTATCTTTTGCCGTTATTCATGATGATATACCTATACTCTAACGTCTCCTCGTATTTTAAACGATGATATAATGAAACCTGTCATTGCCATATTCATTACATGTATCTTGCCAATGATGTCACTATTATTTCTTTCCATAATCTCGCGGTGACGTCACCAGGTAAATGTATGCAAAATATATACATATCTGTAAATTAGTAATACAGTTAAGCGTTCGTTATAAAGAATGATTATTGCCTAGTATTTTCATTTTATACTGAGTAATAGACAATTGCACTTATGATATGAAAATATTGCACTGAGAAACTATTTTTTTTTAATGCTGACCAACGTTCATTAACCTGATTAATAACTATATTACGTTTTATTTGCTGTTCAACAAACGCATGAGAGCGGGCTATTTAAGGGTACCTACTGTTACATAGAACCGTAAGTATAATTATAATTATATCTTTATATGGATGTATGATCTGGCTAAGAACAGATAGAACTCTGACTACCTTCACAGTACTACATAAACAAAGTTATTCCGTATTGTTATAGTAATATAGCACTATGTACAGGGGAAAAAATTATAAATAATCTTTTTCCCCTGGTACCTCAAAATGGCGTTTGAACTATTAATTTGTGCAGTTTCTATTGAATGCAGATAAAACCTGGTTGAGTTGCCACACTGCTGTCCATCGCGATTGGAAGCGCATTCTTAATCACTGTTTGCTCTCTACCTTTTTAGCCTTGGCTACTCGTGGCTCTCCTGTCCGCTTATTAGCCTGTCTGCATTTGACGTATTTTTATGTAACACGTGTAATCCATGGAACCTCAAGAGAAGTCTTGGTTTTCCTTTAAATAAAACTTATAATAATAGATAAGAAATCTTTAAATTGGATTGTCGCTTGCACTTCCTTTAAGCCAAATGACCTTATGGCATATATTCGTATCTTCTTATCGAAGTTTTACGCTATTTTAGAGGTTTAGTGAAATTAAGGAACTTATTTGAAATAGTAGGCTATATAAATTAAATGTCAACACTTATTTAGTTGTATCGTTATTATATATAATTATAAAAATCAATCATTACTATTGTTTATTCATTGTAAGTATATGTTATTGATTAGCAAATAGAAGAATAAAGTCCACAAGTACGAATGAAAGAGATATAGCTTACCATTGAAACGGACATTAACACTTTCCAGGTTTGATAAATCGTCTCTGATGATAAGAAATGTTTTTTCGGAAACAAATTCCGAAGAACCCATCTTCCACTTCATATTGTGTGAATTGTGGATTGAGCTGCCACTGATAACTTTTCAGCAATTCCGTAAACTACTAAAACGATTCAACACATATTCTTCTAAACTTTTTTCATTTATTGACGTAGTTGCCACGTTTCCATAGGTCCATAGACATTTAAGAATATTATTGGAATATAAAGATTTTAGTGTTGTAGAACCTCTAAAACATTTTAGGCACATCTGTCACATAAGTTCTAAAATATTGCACCTAAACTAGTCTGAAAAATGTTTAGACACTTCCATGGAAAGAAAATGAGATCTTATATTATGTCCAGCCAGGCCTGATTAGATCTATTTAGAGCTAATATCCTATTCCGACAGGTCTGTTGAAATTTGAACAAATCGGATCTAGTCGGGCTTGAAAATTTGTTCGTATTTGACGGCAGATCGACTCAAGTCTCATTAGATCTGATTAGGAAAAAATTCATATATAACCAGATAAAATTAGATCTGGGCAGATCTAATTTTTTTCCCGGGCTTCTAGCACTAAAAAATATAACATGCACGCACTGAGCCATGAAGTCGGAATTAAGGAATTCTTACAGATCGTTAGTCCTTTGTTTTCGGTAAATTCATCGGAATTTTTGAATTTGACAAGAAAATTAGTTTGGCGTTTACGTTAAGGGGACCGTCAAATCAAATGGTTGACATCCATGTTTAATTACTCAAATTTCGTGTGAATTCAATACAGGCTACTTAGTGAAAGATATTTTGGAATGTTTTACAAATTTCTTTAAAAATTAATTTTTATCACAGCAGTTACGAAACTTATATATATATTTAAACTCAATTTGGGTATCACAGTTTCAATGTTTTTCCAAATATCATGATAAAGCTAGTCTAGTGTCTGATGTCGTCACTGCGCATGCGCGGATACGTATAGAATTACAGAACGGTTGCCCTGTCGGAAATTTTGTCACAAGACTTAGGTTAGGGTTGGGTATGAATTAGATGACGCACGCGTAAGGGATGTACGTGACTGAACGCCCCAATATGTGTTAAATTGATACGTACCGTATCTCGGACAAAATTTGTTATAATCTACATATCTAATTTTGTTAAACAACTAAATTCCGACATTGAAACAAAATTAGAAATCAGTCCATGTATGCCAGCCAAACACCAAAACAAATGAACATCTAAAAAAATGAATGTAAGTAATAAATAATAAAGAATTTTTCTGCGCAATTTAACATTAAAAATAGTTAAAAATTGAATTTAAATAACTCCTGTACACTGGAGTGACGATTTGGGAAAGTCTCGGCTGAGAAATATTGCAACTAACAATCTTTTAATCCACGTCGAGTTAATCACGCACTTCCAAAAATGAATAACTGAAACCTATTTTTGAAAATTGGCCTGTATTCCGTTCTATTTATGCTAATTGTGAGATCCGTAATTGTATTAGTTTTTAATAAAAATTCGAAAATACCTAACACTGTAATTGCACTGATGGTAAAAAATCCAATTCAAATGTGTCGTTGTCAACATGTCACGTTGGCACCATATGAAAAAAGTAACTAGGTCTTACGATTTATCAATTCTTGCGATCGAACATACTAATAAAATTGAATACACGTAAAACATAATACGTGAGAGAATTTTTGTTCGCTATGTATAAATTCTCACACTAAAATAGTATTCTTCATGCAATCCTTAGCAATCTTTAAAATAAACAATCAATTATTCAGAAATCTAGATTCAATCAATACGGTAAACTCTGACGCATTATTTATCATTATTTCATGGACTTTAGTTGATTCTACCATAGAAATCAGATGAACGGACTAGCTTGACTTTACATAATCGTCCTGAATAACGATTGGCCTTTATATTAATTATTATCACTCTCGACACATCTATGTTTGTTTATTATGTTGGCACCTGTTCTTAAAACAAGCACGTTTGAAAAAGTGTCTTCTTTTCCTTAATCAATTTTCTGACACTTACATTGGAACGTTACCATTGAATATTCCTTCTACCCCTACTGTGCTTCACATGAAAATGAGTAAAAAGCATAAAATAAATGATGTTATTAATGACCCGAAACACGAGCAGAATAAAATATTTTTTTTGAATAGCACAATTTACTCTTTCATTACTTTCCGCGTCACTCCGCAGCTATATCGACCTTGACTTCTTATGACAATTTCAATATAAATGTCATGCTTAGTTATTAAACTTTAACAGTCATTTACCTTAATATAGATGTAAAGAAGAGTTACATATATCTATCTGCAGTTTATACCAAGAAAAATTTTATTTTTATTCCTTTTGCAATAAAACGCGTTGATTTTATTACTTGAAGGTTGATGTTCAACTGATGCATATTCATGTACCTATACAACACGATATCCAAAAGTCGTTTCTGAGGCGTCTAATGACACAGAAGTTGTTCTTAAGACATCTTAAAGATGACTTTTGGACATGTGTGTTATTTGGGTATATGAGTTATGTTAGCTTTGCAAATTTCCAGCATCAAGTAGTAAATGATAAAAAAATAAAAATCAAAGAATAAAAACTTAAAAAATTTTATTTGACATAATTATACTTTTTGAATATGAGAGCGAATATCGCAACACGAATAAAAATTGTATTCAACGATTTGATTTAATTGCAGAACCTTCCCTAACTTTTAATGTCCATTTTATATTTAATATATTTCACACTTTCCGTCAACGTATTAAGAACTGTTGAAACTCGTTAATTAATGCTGTTTATTTTTTTCCATTTAATGTGTATGCGTACACTGGTTTTTAATAAAATTGAATACATTAATGAATATTTATACGAATTTCAATACGATAGTAAAACGAATTTATTTTCGACTCTTCGCTCGTAGCTAACAGGAAATACTGAGTTTACTTTTACCTTGCCATTGGAATAGTTCGACCAGCACCCTATTTGTACGTCTAGAAATGTAGGTGGTGGAGGAAATCGATCCAACAGCGACCATTAACAACCACCTGTCTACTGTATGTTCTTGACCATATGCGTGTACCAAATGCGTCACAACCTTAATAAGTGGTATATACGTAGTGAGCTTTTATGTAAATACATATTTAAAAAGTGAAAACGAATATTTTGATACCATATAATACCTTATTTCTAAACTAATAATAATCGATATTAATAGGGTGTCAAGGTAAATCTAATATATCTGGAAAGGTAACAAAAGCAAAATATTTCTAAACTAAAAAGCGTATGTTGGACGCGGCAGTAATAATAAATTATCAAAAATTTTATATAATACAATTTTTATTTTAACGCTTTAAATTGCTGGACAAGGGAATGGCTATGATTTATGAAAAATTTGTCATAAGAATATACCTTTCTTTTCATTTTTGTTTAATAAAAATAAAAAGTTAATAAAAATTGATTAGTAATATAGCTATAGAAAAGTTTCATAGTGTATTTGAATATTTTTTATTAATTCGAAAGTAATATTACCATGTTAATAATTCAAACGTATGGCGGCGGTTGCGGTTGTCTAAACTTGGAACCTCATTATTTCACAATTTTCCTGCACCGTTTATAAACTGTAGCTCTGTGCGAGTGCAACTCTGGATCAAATCACATTTAATGGCTGTAGAAAAATTTGCTGATCGAATACGCTATTGGGTGACGCAGATACGTATAAGGAGTATCTTATTCGTGGTACTTAATATTAAAACAAAGAAATTAAATAAAATACAAAATAATCCCTCATACTTTTATCGCAAATACCCAACTAAATTCCTATCTCTAGCCTAGCTGAGCATTAATTAATAACTTGGCCTGATTAAGCATTGGCAAGGTAAATTCGTATTGTGAAAACCCTGTTAATTCCTGTAATAGATCTGTATTTTATCTGGGCTAGACTTTTTTTACACTGGTCCAAGTAGGAAGATGAGTAGATAGATTCTTTGTTGGTTATTGACAGGTGGACGTTTTTATCAGTGGCGATTCCGGACCTGGCAGGGAACTCGAGCAGTCGATAAAGCATTTCCTACCTAACATCAGTAGGATCCTCAAAGGTAGCTAGATTCCGAGCTGGATTGCAGCAGTCATCTTACCTCAGTTATTTAAGGATCCATATAGACGTGGAAGACCAAAAATACATTTTTTCTAGAGGTCTTCTTTTTTTGAATCAGTTTGAACTACGGCCGGTACAAGCGGCCACAGTAATTATGTCTCCACTAAAGTCGATCGACAGTTGAACGACGATGAATGTATGCATATAGTTTACTCCGTCTCCTATGGAGATAATCTACGGATATCAGTAGTATACCTACAGGAATTATACCTCTAACGCGAAAGTCAGACGTATTACGGATACTACAGTGGGAATATTTTACGAATTTATTTTTGTTTGTTGTCAGTTAATTTATATACTCATGCTGCTGGTAACCGCTGCTTACTGCAGGGCAGAATACGTCCGACTGTATCACCGCCATTTTAATAAACTTTAAATGTTTTCAAACTTCAATAAAATGTTTAAAATTAATCAACTTTTTTAATGGTTTTGCCAAAGGAAGTTCCTCAAAAAAGTGTCACTTTTTGATTCTGTAAGTGTAGGGTTAATCCACCAGTAAATTAAGAAACACTTCCAGTGAACTTCGACCAACAAAGTCTATAGAATTATATGTATTTACAATTGGATACTTGAACTATTTAATCCAATGGCTATTAGTGGTCCCCGTAGTACGAAACAATCACAAATAGTATGACATTTTTTTATTTTGAACTGGTCTTGAACTTGTGAAATATCTTCTACATATCCTGAGAACATTACGAATGTCTTCGTGGTTATTTATTATACTGCTAAATATTGTAGGTTCATTCCATCATATTCTCAGAACATTTTTGTAAAGTCTGGGAATATTTTAAGTGCAAATTCTACATAGAGAAATACATTCAAAACGTTGTAATGTAGTCAAACATGAACACGTGTGTCGCCCCCAGGAAATACAAAGTCTAAGAATCACATAAAAATATGAACGATTACTAATGTTATTTATTCCTTCTCTAAATAATCGGTAAGACAACCGCTTTATTTTCTTTACCGCTTTTCCATATTAGTAATTAAAATTTTCATAAATAGAATTATGAAATAAATAATTTACACGCAAACTGACACTATAAGCCGTCACGAGAAACTACTCTGAGTAATAAAAGTACATAATTTGTAATAGAGATACTATAACTTTATGTTGGAAGTCGGACTGTAAGAGAGTAGAGACGACATGCGGCAATGAGTATAATATAATGCGTCTTTTGGGTTTATTTCATTTTGCAGGACTGGCGTGACAGAACTAGGTATAAACAAGTGCCTAGTTCAATCGAGTAGTGTTTGTTTGCGTTTTTGTATATCAATGAACTTGTATCTGTTTGCTAGTTCAAGAATTGTAATATTGTGTGTATGCATATGTGCATTTATGTATATCGTTGTTCCATATGCTCCAACACCTTACACATAATACAAAATACAAATTGGCTTAAATCTATTATGAATGTTACTGGAGTATGAACACCATAAAGCAGAAAGGTTCAAAATAACAATTTAGTAGTTTTTAATTTTCTGCATTATTCTGCTTTTCTGTGATATACGGTATGTATATAAGAAATATATAAATAACGTATAATGATATACGTTATTAAAATCCAGGAAACAAGATTTGTCTGATAAAGTATATGAATAGAAAATTATATATAATTCACCGACGATATCGATATCTTTTAAAGTGAAACCATAGTTGGAATATATTATTGTGAAATTGACACCTAAAACCTCGCTTATATGAATACTCCCACTCTCTGTTGACGATCTTGAATGCAATGTCCTCATAAGGTGGCCCTGCGTGGAAGCGAAGATTAGCAAAATCTTTGTTATCCGCACAAGGCGTCTGTAAAACAAAAATTACAGCAATTTTATTTTTAACGTTATAACAGCAAATGTATGTGTCTTTTCATTTCGTGGTTTCGGCACGTTTCTAACTCTTTATTGCGTGTTTAAGCTAATTTTGATTAATAAGATTGGATATTGAAGAATGCATAACCTGAATTATTCAAACTTTTGGTCTCAGTTTTTTCTCCCTTCAATTTTTTAGTTAGCATGCTATTCTAAATAGCGTTGTATTTTACATATAAAGTAATAATGAATGTGTTTAGGATTAAAAGTGAGTAAAACATATGATACATATACTCATATTTTACTAATATTTAGATATATAATAGACGGCATTTCAATTCATTTTTTGTTTCTTTTTCTTTTAACTCCAATGGAAATATTAAATAGTTCATGAATATTATATATGAATAATACTCTTGCATATAAATTTTGGAAATGGTTTAAATCCTCAATGTAATACTATAAAAAGAAATACATTGTTCCTCTTAGAAACAATAAGAGAGGTCCGAAGCAAGCGGAGAATTTACCCTCTTGGATGTACTTCAGAGTAAATGAATGAAAATAAGCATACGAAGTTTATTTATTATAAATAAAAGAAGAAATATCTTACCAAAAAATACTCCGGCGTAGTATTCTTATTAATCAGGTCTGGATAAAAAATATTGAATTTGTAGCCCTGTACAATTTTTGGTGGTGGATTGTCCATGTCGTAATGAGTTTGATTGTATTTATTCCATTCAAAACCCGTATGAACACGATTGAAATATCTTGGTTTTCGAGGTCTGTATTTATCCGACCATAGATAGATTTGTGCTTCTAAGGATGACTCGACGCTAAATTGTGCTTCATCGGAGCCCATATTTTTACGAGCTTCTCTGTGCATGGCTTGTTCTTCGACTGTCATTACATTTTGTACTTTACAACCAGTATTGAGTACTAGACTGCGTGCATATTCCAGACGCTGATTGTCATCTTCTTCCAAAGCAACAATAGTGCCTGGCTCCAACTGGGATGGTGTCATGTATGTTGGTGAATAACCACCGGTTTCGTATTCACAAAAGGATTCAGATAACAGATCGTTCGTCATATTCGAATACTCTTGTTCCTCTCTGGAAACGAATAGAAAAATCAATGATAAAATAAGATACTCCGATGCTTAGTTAAGTATTAATCGTAGACTACAAGTAATTTGACATAAAACGACTGAAAACTCAGGCTTAAACCTATTCAAAATTTTAAATTCACAATTTTAAATGGTCATCCAAGAAATATTAAGGTTCCTGAAGAATATTGAAATTCTAACATATTGAAATATGGATCTAAGTCAGAATTAAAGAAAACTTGACAATAATTGTTTTGCGTTTGTTTTACACATTAGAAAAAACATATTCCATTCACACTCCGCATTCAATGAGACAGTTCGTTTGAATTATATATCTAGCTAACCCAACTACTTTCTCATGCAAATCATCTAATTTTACAAAGATTTTATAAAGCTAATGCGAATAAAGGAAAATAATGTTTGTGAAGCTTTCTTCACTTGTTGCTTCACCCCAACTTCTGTGAATACAGAATTGGTAAATGATAGCCTTAATAGTGATCAATGTAATTGTTGAAACCTACAATGTTTTTAGAAAAATACATACTCTGATTGACTCTCATCGCTTTTCCCAATTTTACTACTTGTAGAAGGCTCGTCATGTTTTGCAGAATGCTCGCTAGGTGCTTGCGAACCTTCCGCTTCACTTTCTGTTTTAGCAACACCTTGTTCGGCAATTAAAACTTCCAATTTTTTCCGTAAATTCTCTTGATGACGGTCCCTTAACCTAGCTCTTGCCATGTGAGCTAAAAAATATATCCTCATATAAAAAAAATGTTTTGTTACGTATTTTTATTTTATGGATGTTAATACACAATGCTAGCGCACCTTTCAATTGAGACAAAAGACTTTCCCAATATCCGATATCTACTCCTTCTGGTTTTCCAGTAATTTTTGACTCAATCTGTTGCTGTAAAGCTTTCAACTGTGCAGCAGTCTTTCCTTTGAAAATAGCAGTAACATCTTTAGCTACAGATTCATGAATCCCTTCTCTGCGTCCGATGGCTGAAAAAAAAATTAGTTACAATATTTTATTACAATAAGTTGCAAATCAATGTTTTTACAACCCTCTAAATTCTTATACATTTTGTAAATTCAATTACGGAAACAAAGCAATATTTATTTCACACGTGTAGGACCTTTTAAATATAATATCTTTTAAGCCAATATTTCATTGAAACATACACTCTCGATAATATACTTGTATATTAAATACTTACCCACTTCATACTCCGATCGTTCTAATTTTCGTAACTTATGTAGTTCGTCTTCAACAATGACTGTTATGTCATTCCAGTAATCCAAATTTTTTCCTCTCTCCAATTCTTTATACACTTTAATATCTTCAATGAGGTCTTCTAAATCTTTCACATGTAATCCCCTAAGATACGTATAAGGTTCATGCATTTCGACAGCATCAACTTCTTCTTCTGCGCTAATGTATTTTGCCAAAAGATCGATTGGCTTTGCTCGACCATCTTGGATTCTAATACGTGATCTCAATCTAGCTTGTTCCAAATGAAACTGATCTTCCTGCCTTGCCCACTGTTCCAATTGTGCAGCTTCCTTTCCTCTTTGTAACATAGTCATTTCTTCCTCTCTTTGTTGTCTTTCCAATTCTCTTTCTTGCCGTCTTTTTTTCACTTTTTCCAACTCTCGTCTATTTTCCTCTTGTTTATATCTATTTCTAGTTTCAAGTTCTTCCCTGCTGACACCGAGAAGTCCCTCTTTCTCAAGCTTTTTAGACCAAACAAAAGTCGATAATAAGTTTCCATCTCCAAATGGATTATCTGTATTTGTATAATGCAAATAATCATTATCCCATCCCATTCTTTCTTTACGTTTTCGCTCTTTGGCTTCTTTCTTCTTTAATCGTCGAAATCTTTTTTCCTCTGGTGTTTCTGTTGCTTTCAACATTTCTTTTTGGTTCTTACGTTCCTCAACTTGTTTCTGCCGTTGCTTGTGAAGCTTCTCTAACAGTTTGATAGAGTTAGCCGATGAATCTGATGAATCAGATGAATCATCAAAAGATGATGACGAACTCCTGTGTAATAATAAAATCGATTAAACAATGAGTCTATTATTTTACTTTATGCAATCTTCAATTGTGCACAATTACATGATATCCAAAATATACAATATACAAAACAAAATAGTATGAAATATACAATACAATAACATGATACATATGATTCACTAAATTTACCTTTTTTTACTTTTATGTTTCAAATGTTTTTTACTTGTATAAGAATCATTTTGTTTCCCTGATTTCTTTTTAACTTCCTTTGATTTTTTACGTTTATGTTTATGCTTAGATTTCGAAGACTCGAAACGATGTTTGTAATCATCTTCATGAGCTCCATCTTTTAGTTTATCTTGACGACGTTGATTTTGATCACTTTCACGAAATTTAGAATATTCATCTCTACACAAATGTCGTTCCATCTTCAATAATACAATAAAAACGCTTAGTACCACTTTCTTAACAATTCATAACCTTAAAACTAAATAACGTTCCAGAAAGTGGCCCTGAAACAGCTGTTTCCGGTCAAGTTGACAGGAAAGCTACAGTAGTGCACCGTCATTTAATAAAATATCTTTGTAGAAGATTTTACATAGAAATATGTGACGCTTTTTTTCAGTTCACTTTATCTTCTATTTTTATAGTGTTATTTCAACTTAACTAATTATAAGTAATACTAAGAAGTAAGGAATTCAAATTTTGCTTTTGACTTATTTTTCCCCCTCTACTCATTTTTGAATCCACATCCGTTAACTTTCAAATAAGACAGTACACGCCGTCAGACAAGGTTTTTCAAAAATTATCAAACGGTTTCAGTGCATCACCTACAATTTTCGAAAATATTTTTTAAGTATTTCAGTGCAAAGATATATAGCGACATGCCGCATAATATCTACTATTCGGACAAATATTATGACGATAAATATGAGTACAGGTTGGTTTATTCTAGATTTGCAAAAATTAAGTTTTGTTTAGATTTTCGATGCTGGTGGTTATATCAACATTTAAATGGCATTTTGACATACTTTCAAAATACTGAGATATTTTCTCAATATGTAATAGTTCATTCAATTTTTTTTGATACAATGATGGCATCGTTTTCAATGATTTTGTACACTCTTTGTTTCCTGATGTGATGAAAGTACTGTAATAGTGAATATGATATGACATTATTTTATCCATTACGTCTAACTCTCATACTAAAATGGCAAACATTGATTAGGATTGAATTATAAAGAAATGACAATGTATTCATATTATAGAGTCAGTCTGGTACATGGATTTACCTTGAATGAATCAGCATATATTTTATTTAAATGTCATGTGTCAACTATATGACAAATGTATTTACAATTTATAATTATTTACATAATTCTATATAACATGATTCTTTTGTTAGATCTATATAATATAGTAACACTTTTAATAACATTTTTATCAGAGATTCATTACGCATCAGATCGAGTTATACAATCTATATAAATATGATTTCATTAATGATTATTTTAGATTTGTATTCAGAAATTTGCATGTAGTCTGCACATATAGAATTTCAACTCTCGGTATGCTTTTATTTGTATATCAGATGATGTATGTAACTAAATCAGAGGTTAATGGTAATTATACATATGTATGCGAATGTAGCTATCTCGGTATAAAATAGAAAATCCTAATATTTGGATTATAGATATCATATGTATGCAAAGTATAACATAATTATTATATGAAGTTACTTATGTTTGTTTCTATTATAGATTCTCATTAAAAAGTTTAAAGTTGCATTTTTTATAATATATGTACGTGAAACTTAAAAAAAATCTTTATTGTCGGCTCATTCTATTGCTCTTAAATATTATGCAGGATGTATATGTACTTTGAATATATAATGATTAATATATTGCATTGTATATTATGTTTTTAATGTAACATGATAATTTTAATGTTGCATGATTTTTAATTCACTACAAGTGCTTTATCAATTTAGTAAACTGAATATTAAAATATAATTATATTCATGTTGAGATATTGTCTAAGATCTATTTGGAATTTAGTATACTTTCACATTATAAACCATAAGAACCAGTGTCCCCAAGACAAAAGTGATACGTAACGATGACAGTAAATTATCACAAGTGCTCTGATATATATTACAAATTCTTCTTAAGAAAATAACTACACAAGATTTCATACATATTTAATCACATACTTTACTTTCCAGACATGTTGTACTACCAAAGGAACTGGAGAAATTAGTACCTAGGACCCATTTAATGTCAGAGCAAGAATGGAGAGCCATTGGTGTTCAACAAAGCCAGGGTTGGGTGCATTACATGCATCATCAGCCTGGTATGAATAATTTTACTCGTTTTTAACATTACTCTGTAATTCATTTTTAATAACTTCAGAAATTAAGGAATGATTTAAATAGACATCTGTGGAGAAATTAAATATAAAACGATTTAAATTATTTTATATTGCTGCAAATGTTCTTGATTCTTTTGACATATTTTACCAGGTAATTTTTATTTGACACTATAGCGCATAAGGATTATTTGCAGTATTAAACAGAAATATTTATCATTAATACAATTCAAAATTTAATTTATAATAATTGAATAATTAAATTCGTTATTTATGTTTCAGAGCCACATATTTTATTATTCAAGAGAAAAATCACTACTCCACCATCGGAAAAGTAATCATTATTCAACGAACGCGTTAAACTCTTGCGTATTTCTTGTAAAACTAACATCATTGTTATTTTCTTTATGGAAGAACTCAGATATAATAAATTTCATTGCGATAAATGTCACATTTTGATCATATATATAAGTGTGTTTACCATTCACTAAGTGCTTTTGTCAATTTTACAAGCTGTGTGCCTTATGGGTTTGTAAAATGTCATTTTATTCCAGTTGTTACAATGATCATAATTTAAATGAATTTTACTTGATCTTGTATCTGAGTTCTTCTTGTTCTCAATTTTACTTCAATAGATCATTCATAAAATGTCAACGAAGTATCCTGTACATATGTCTATAAAGTACCTTAGTTCTTAATAGCGTCGCAGAAATGTACAATGAAACCACTACGAAGCAGTATTCCTTCGGAGTTTTTACTTTCCTAGACGGAATTAAGTTAAATGTTTAGATGAACAAACTGTAAACATAATTATTAATTAATGAATACGGTTTTGATTGTAAACTCCAATGACATTGAATCGTGGCACTATTCATTGCATAAAAAATATAAAGGATTTTAAATCGCGATGCTTTATAATCACTCTCAAAACATTTATTGTTAGTCGCTAGGAAACTTCGTTTGAATATGATGTTTAGTATAATTGTAAATTGTCTTATGAAAACTAATGTTTAAGCCGATGATTAAAGCATATTTCATTGCACAATATAATTCGAGACGTGCTTGTGCAAGATGGACGCTATTGCTACGAGTTCTCCTTTCAATTTTTTGCTTTTTACAAATTACAATTTAGTGACTGAAACTTGTTACATATCTTAAAGTATTCTCGCATATACGTTCTTTATAATTCCATCCATTTTTCTCTGTAATTCGTTTGTGTACTAATTATACCCTTCTGAATAGAAAAATTTTATCTATCTTTGCAATCAAAACAATTCTCCAACTTTTGTAAGTATGACTCACTACCCTTTACTGCTTATACATAAAGTGATTTGTGGTTCCGTTCTATTCAAAATCATTTCATCATTTCTAGCTTAAGATCATCTCTATTAATCTAGAACTACTGACAGATATTGATTGCAATGATTATAAATTAAAAATTAGATTTCCACAAATTCATCATGGGATCCATATACAGCTGTTAGCTGTCCAGTACCATGTAATAAAGAATACTCTAATTTCCTTTTCTCATAATGCATATAAACCTGAGAATTCCGTAGATTATCGTGGGAGTTATGACTTTCCGGCATCAATGTGATGAATAGTGGTATATATAGTGGGTCCACGAGTATCATGCGTTTTTTTGACAGTTCGTAAGCAATGCAATCCTTAGCAAGTCACACATGTTTTCCATACAATAACGTAAATATATTCTGAAATATAACAATAAAAAATATTTAATACAAAACAATGCCTATGCATACTTTGTAACAAGCATTTCATGCAGTAACACGTGTACCTTGATAGAGACTTCATTGTTTTCTATTTGCTTAGCCTGTCATTTCGCAATTCCATCGTACAAAATACTTCCCAAGAATTTTATTGGTTTGTTAAAAACCGAGAAGAGAAAATTAAATTTTGCTAATAATTCACAGTTTTCAGGATTATTTAAGCGGCTTCCCGGCAACCAAAAAGTATTGGAAAGAATAGAGAATAAGATAATTGAACTATTTTTTATTGAAATTTCAAATTGACTCTAAATTATTCATATACATTTCGATTCGTTTAAATTTTTCAATTAGATCCTGTCCGATTCTATTGGTGAATTTCTTCTTGTACTGAATTGACTATGCTGCCGTCTTCGTCTATTTTTCTCTACCTGTTTCTTTCTTACAATAACGAATTCGATTCTATCCGCTGCTATTCTATTTGCTTAATCAATCCGTTCGAATTCGTTGAAAAGAATATATGGATATCCAGCAAACCTGTCACTTCACTGGGATATCTGTGATGTTAAAAGAGCTACACTTTCCAGAAGAATTCCAATTTAAGGCAATTCTGTGATGGGATGTTTGAAATCAGTATACAGGGTTATTAAGTATAAACGCACCACCTGAAATTAGCTCGTCCACCATTCATCGAATTTTGCAGTTTTATCTAGCCAATTTAATTCCTACGAACAAATAAAGACAAATTTGTCTTGATTAAAATTAATTTTTGTCATGTCGACATATTCATAAGTTGTGCTATCTGGGATTGAGCAGTGGTTGTGGTGATTAAGTTTTAGTCAATTGTCTATACAATTATAGATTGATTTATATCATCGCTCGAAATCAGTTAATCCAATAGACTTAAAATTAATAACCGCAATCGAAGTTAAGTTTTGATATACAGCTTGGATTAATAAAAACGTTGATTTGACAATAGCAGCGGTATGCAAATAAATTGTATACAACGTTCATTTTCGAATTTGTATGTATATAACACAGGTATCCCACGCAGCATGACATCCCAACAAGTTCATAAAAGTGAGTCAGTGATGGGCCCTTACTGGCCCGCAGTAGCTATCAATAGACTTGTAACGATTTACTAGGAGACTTTTCTTATGTGTCTGCAGGAGTCCTAAGGATGTCCTTAGCTCATTTTGTAGGCAAGGCCTGAAAAGCTTATTTCTATAATAAAAAAGATATACATTTATAGAATTTACGCACATAATGTAAAGAAGATACGTCAAGGAGATATTAATAAATACGGCTAGCTTTACGTACGGTAGATCCTCGATATTGACAACAGGTGGCGACTGTAGTGGCGAAAATAGAGGCGATGCACGCACTGTCCCTTTTCAAACTGCACAATTTCCCTCTCGCGCTCGACAGGGTCGTAACAAGCAGTACATACGAATCGTTATACCCGTACCAAGAATAATAAACCCTGAATACGATGGGTAAGAAAGTCGTCGACCGGTAGGTTTATAGCCAATTTCTTCACCGGATAAAATTTATCTTGCGGATAAACTCCAAAAATATGAAAATGATTCGTTAGCTGGGGATTTATTCGCTGGACAAATTTCATCCGAAGGTAAAGAAATTGGCTATTAGAGGGAAGCATAACGAGAATCAAAGATCTACTGTATATACAACGCTCTGAAAGGTATTGATGTACTATAATATTTTTCTTCAGATACAAAATAGACGCAGGCTGCTTCTTTTTGCTTTACTAATTTGGTAAATATTCTAATTTGATAAATAAAGCGTACGACAACTGAACGCATAAGATTGAACGCACGTGTAACGAACAAAAAGCAAAATCTCATACCAACATTATCTATTTTATCACGAGCATTTATTTATGCTAATCTGTTATTTTTTTCTAAGGACATCTTTCAGTCTATTTGCCATCTCAATTCTTTAGTGACGTCTAATCATTGGACTTCGTTAAACAGATTATTTAAACTCAAAAGTTAAGTCGATTGATAACGATACGCTTGAACATTTTTATTTATTTAACAAGTGCTTATTACTTACCATAAAATTAATACGTCCTTATATCCTATATGAGCCGTTCAGTGCACACATCGATTAACTCCATAAAACAAAAAGTTGAGAAATGCGATGAAGTAACGTATATTGTAAATTACTTATTATTCAATGGCCAAAAAAATTGTGCCGTTTAATGGTGCTAATCTTTATTATTCACGGAAGTTATTATAAATATAAAAAGTTATGACTATACCAAGTGCTTTGACACTTAAATTTAAGATTTTTCAAAAAGTGGAGTTAATCGATGTGTGCACTGAGCGGCTCATATATGTCCTTTATTCACACAACCGGGATCTTTGAAGACCTACAGTAACAGTGAGAACAGGTAAGTTATGTGAAATCAGTTATTTGAACATACTTTTTTTCTCTATAAAATGTTCTCTTGATTTACGATAGTCACGACTCACGTCTTCCTTTTTAACGTGACGAGTTGTGGCGTAATAAACGGTATTATGACTACCAGCTCAGTAAAAACAAAACACCATACGTAATACAAGGTCGTTCAGAAATCCCTGAAAAATAGGAATTTCAGTAGTATAATTTTTAGTGTAATGTGATCTTTTTTTTTATATTTTGTTTAAATTTAATATTTTCAATAATAAATTACGAAAGAAACGAAACTTGTGTTATTTGACAGATACTATGCGATTCGGTGTGTCGCGTTACATCTAAGCTTCCCATAGGATAATGTAATTGACCAAATTATGATGCGGACAGATGACGTTCGCTGAAATAATTATTGAGGGTTATGTCATTTCCGAAAAATTTCGAGTCGAGGAAATGATATGCGATACAATGGAGATTCGGATAAATGACGTTCCGCGAAAACTTCAAACGAAGAAATGACGTTTGAATGTCAACTTATTCCTTTGGATATTTTATTTCTTGTCGTATATTCTTGTCATGTCAGGAGATACAACCCTGATATGTCAGACAGCACCTTTCAGACGTTACAAGTGTCTTCCTACCAAGGTTGAGGTTTTGAAAATCACTGGATTAGGATTTGGCCTCAAAAATTCAAAAATTGTCAATCCAAAATGGCGAATCCGAACTTACAAATGAAATTACGAAAAAATACTGGGATTCGCGTGAAAATTAATTTCCGAAGGTTTTCGAGGTTAAACTCACCAGCGAAGAAAAAGTAACACAGGTAAGTTAGAAAATTTAAAGAAAATTTGGAAAAACGACAACTTATAGAAATTTTGTTAATGCAACGTAATAAGAATGACGGGACTACAGAATTTCGAGGTTAGATTAGAATTCAGCGACCTTGGAATTCTTCTTCAAATTCCGACTGTAGATAAGGCAAAGCTTTCAAAGACGGCATATATTTGGCCGTGTTATCAGCTATGCCAATTCAGACATCTTACCCCTAACAGGTTAATCACGTCATCAAAGAAATTGGAATTACCTGAATCCCTACAAGAGTAAATGGTTTCCTTACGCAGCAAAGAAAAAAGTTATTGCCAAATCTGTAAAATAATAAAACTTTATCGATCGTAATATATGTGATTTAAGAATGTTAAAAAAATGGGTAGCTTATTACCACGTAGCAATGAAGAATTATAAAACAAGTGTCAAAGGAACTGTTCGGAATGGCACTTGTCACACTTTTTTTTTTACATCGCCTGTGGTGAAAATTGCAAAAAGGCTTTCGCAGGGAGTCGGAAACATTTACAGTCACCCCTTGACTTACATTATTTCGCACTTGCGTCTGTTTGGCCTAATCTCATTTTGACTCTCCTCAGCTGCTCCTAAGCATCAGGCGCTCGCTTAGGTCGTATCAACTAACGTTGTTTATTGCGAAAGAATTTACGACGTAACTTCGGAGTATTACTGTATTAGCAATACATAATAAATTGCGAATACTGTGGGTATGACTAATAACCAATTTTCAATTGCTTGTAGGTACGAGTAAACAAATCCGTCATCAAACACAATTTTCTTCCGTCAGTAGCGTCCGTGACGCGTCCAGTAGCCCCAGGTCATATTAATGCTCAATGATTACCACATAGGGCGACGAAAAAATTGAATAAGAAAAGATAGTTCAAACAAATTTTAATTACCTAACAAATTTTTTTTCTCTATCAGATTTCATTTTTTATTAAAAAAAAAAAACCTAAAAATCTGTCGCGTGTATTCGATTAACCCTTTTAATGCCAGATTCGTGTAGGCGGTACATGCGAATCCTGCTATCAGTGACGTAAACGAATTGAAACGCACAGGGCCGCCGGATCGACCCATAACAGCTCTCGGAGCTCACCGTCAACCGGGCGACCCTGAATCCGAATGGTCTTAGGATGATCTCACGCGACTAATCGTCCCATGCCACTCCACGAAGACCCAAACCCAGAGAATTCACTCGAGAACACAACCATCGGCAACAAGGCTAAGACCCAGGGACAGCCACGCCATGGCTGCGGGAAATTTTGGTACTAACCCAACTCGCAAGACCCTGGTAACCCACAGACCTCAGACATCCCGCGCCAGCAAGGGCCACTCTGGTGCACTCCACTGCTGTCGGGGTGCATAATAGAGTAGGTCAGTTTGCAGGGTTCGTACCCTAATTATCAGGGAACGGACCCAGGACCCCAGATCGACCCACCTAGTCCAGTCTTTCACCTCATTCACTGCCCACAATCTAGGCTCTTCGGCTACCGAAGGACTTCGACCTCTGGCCATCCGCCTATCGAAAAGGCCAAAGACCCAAGAACCCATTATACTTTTCCGAGGTACTCAACAAGTCTTACCCCTGATGACTCCATCCTCTTTGGTCTTTACTTTTACTTTCTCTACTTCCTCTTTCACGTTGGATTAATAGTCACGTGTTAATTTCGCGTTTTTACTTTCTATCACACCGGTACTCTCGTGAGTTCCTAACTCGCCCATTGATAATTACGTAACGTAGAAGGGAGCATGAAAAACAATGGTAATTATGAAATAAATTATGTTGGCAACTTTTTTTTATATTTAATTTTAATTATACATATCGTGTATCATACATACGTCATAATTTTTATTTCGATAGATCCAATTATACATGATCGTGTCCACTCGATAATATACGGTCATATATAGACACGATTATATATGATTCACAATTGACTCTGTAAATTTAAATCCTGCCAAATTTTCTATCTGATCGTGTCTATCCGATTAGATATGATCATATGTCATTAAATCTAAGGTCGTTAAGATTAAGAATTATATTATTCCAATGCGTACCTAGTATTCTGTATGTATCCACGTGCATGGAGTAATGATGTTATCGTTATACACTAAAAAAAGAAAGGCAATTACAAATGCTTGAATTATTCAGAAAAAAATAAAAGTTTTACGTTTGCCATTTTCAGATGAAAAAACATTACAAGATTTGGAACTATAAAATAAATTGTCATATATTTATATTGGATCATCTTTTCATGTATACATGTATCGTATACATGTTTCGTGTATCTTTTTTCTTAACTCAAGTAAGAATGATAAATTGGCCTGGTAGCTACATGGGTAGAGTGTCACATTCCTCGCTTGAAGCAGCCCAAGAGTTGCAGATTCTAATATTTCAAGAATTAAGTATTTAATATTCAGTGGATATTTTGAGTATTAAAAAAAAACCCCGATATCAAATCATTGGCTGTTTTTAATTTTCCGATACACTTCGGCACAACACACTCGTGTTTCATTTATGACTTATGGACCTTGCGCAGCAAGGGTAGCAGGCTACGGCCAATGGGCAAAGAGGATCGAGCTGATAACTCATAAAAAAGACCCAAAGCATTTTAACACTAAACATACCGACAATTTTTTATAAACGTATTTTTGGCTTTAAAAGGGTCAAATGACCGGTCGATGGTACGATTAGTGTTAAATCCGTAAATGAAACATGAGTGTATAGGTAAAAGAAAAATACCCATTGCCACTATGGCATTCAGAGTATGTTCTAATATTCGACGATTTTATTTAAAATACAGTCCCTTACAACTTACGTTCTCGAATCTTCCGGATGGCCAGGAGTGGGGATACTCGAGCACTGTCATTGGTCGAGAGTACGAGGGAAGGGGAACCTCCACACGATTCAAAGTACGTGATCGGTACTTGGCTTAACTTACATATTACCGCATTAAGTTGTGACGGATTCTATTGTATATATGGATAATAAAATTAATATATTCTCCGTAAATGTTTAGTATAAAGTTGCACTTTTTTAATTATATTTAATTATGACAAACTATGAAAATTTTAAATGATTTGATATAGTATATGTACTGTATAGTGCAATATAGGTCTCATACAATGTTTCGAATCATGTTGGGGTCTTCTTGAGATATCTTGAATTTCTGGTAAAAATGACAAAGTAGTGAAAAACTATAAGATAAATATTATAACATTATCATGCCTAAAAACCACAATTTCCTAGTATTGATTACTATTTTTTTTTACAATTATCCAGTAATTTAATTTTATCTTTAGTGGTATCAATATACGATTTAAGACAGTTAATATTCCTGTGGATGTTTCTCATATTTTAGTCTTTGAATAATCTAAGTAATCCATGTGATAATCCACTAATGGTAGGAAAATACACCGTCTAAAGTCATTAGGTAGACGGTGTATTTTCCTGCCATTCGTGTATTATCACATGGATTACTTAGATTATTCAAAGACTAAAATATGAGAAACATCCACAGGAATATTAACTGTCTTAAATCGTATATTGATACCACTAAAGATAAAATTAAATTACTGGATAATAGTAATAAATAATAATAAATACTAGTAAACTGTAAGTTTTAAGCATGATAACGTCATAATATTTATCTTACAGTTTTTCACTACTTTGTCGATTTTAACAGAAATTCAAGATATCTGCAGAGAACAGCCTAAGTGGGTCGAAACGTTATATGGACTATACGCATCGTCTTTTTTTACTGATTAAACTGTCTGCTGACTGGTCAACACTAACAACACGGAATTTAATAAAATTACCAGCCGACAATTTAACTTATTGGAACTATATGGATGATCTTTTCTCTCGATTTCTCTTTGCAAAACATTATTCATGTGTTTCCTGAAGGTAGCGCTCGAACGTATACATGCATAAGTGTCTATATGCAGTGTGTTGTGTAACAGTGATTTAAACTGTAGCAAAATTTCGCAATACTTAATACTGCTATAGTCTGTTAAACTCTATGCCGTTATTCAGCTTGCGTGAAACCTATAGTCAGTTATTTGACAGATAAACAGTGCGCCGAAAAATAACCAGCCTCAAATTCATATAGTTAAATATTCGTGGTACATGTCACCATATGTGATGTTACACATATTGCCAGTTGACGTGTGTGTAATGATGCACCATATTTGGTAGTAGCCATTCGTCGATGGAAAAAAAAAATGTTCTGCCAATTACGACTATGTAACTGTTAAGTAATTTTCTAAATGTCAATACATTTTTAAAGATCACATGTGTAGCACAGTTTACCTGTAAACTGACGTATGTGCACTGAACCAAATAAAACTGGATAAAATGATATTTATCTCTGGTATAATAAAATGTACCTGTTTAAGAATTGTAGGTAATTAAAAGATCGTATCGGTTGTACCTTGAATACACAAAAGCGATTTAAAAATTTCTGTTCGTTAAAGTAATTACGATTATTAAAATATTTTATTATTATTATATATATATATCTATTAATAATACCTGAAGATATGTAATATTTTTTGGTGGAAATATGTATATTTCCTAAAATAATTATTCCTATATAATACAGTATTAACGTTCGTTCGTAAAATTCAAACGGGTAAATTATTTTTTACGAAATATCTATGTATGTAAAATTACTGTTAATACTAAAATTTAATATAGCAGCTACAGTCGTTGCAAATAAGCACAGCGTTAACATTGGAATTTCCGCAAAAAAAAATTGGTTGCTCGTGAATTCTTTGGTGCATGAGTTCAAGTTGAAACGCTCGATTTTTGTAGAAAAGTTGTGCCATAGTTTCAATAACGTATTTCGAGGACTAATTTATAATCCGTATCATTACAGATTTTTCTGTAACATGAAAGCGATGTCTGGTCCAATTGTCCAATGTCAATCCTGCTTCGATTGGCCAACTTTGTACAACTGTAGGTACATTAGAATAGAACATAATCAACAGGTATATGAAACTAATGTGCGATATTATAATATAAAGTGCGATATTATTTAGAATTAAATTTTTGGGAATTTTATATTGTATTGTATGAAATTACATACGATATATGTATGAATGATAAAATAAATTAAATAATTACATATTTTATGTGATCATATTATATATATGCAAATACAGTGTTGTTTTCAAACATGTCCTCATGTGGTAGAATAATACGAAAATACTCATGGGTGACGTGGTTTAATGAAAATTAAACTAGTGACCTCAGGCTAATTCATTTAACAAACTCTCACGTATACCGATCTGTTACATTCCGCATCTGCGTATGCATATGATTCCCACAGTAATTGTAACGAATTGTAGATAAACTATGCAGCCAGTGTAAAATTACATCGTACATTAATAAGCGTGTCGCCATCGTCGTTTACGTCAAAATCATCATAATGAAATTTTCATACATTGCAGTAACTAAAGTCATCTGCGTGTGTTGTGTAATATAAATTAGAATATATATATATATATATATATAAGTAGGTGCATTCGACGGCAGAAGAATTTCAAAGAAATTATTTAGGTGACGACCCTGAGTCACCAAGTTTTCATCCTGCAGGATATAGGTAAGATTGACGAATCACGTTTGAGTATTTATCTGTAACGTTTCACGTGATCGGTTGATCGTCTCTAAAAATTCTGTACGGTGAAAAGTTGATAAGTGCCAGTAATGAACTGTACTTCCGAAACGCTATAGCTGACTAGGTACGGATGGCACGTGTTCCCGTGTCTTACGCTGGTCGTAAACAGTCGCTACGCGCATGCGCGAGCAGCCGGCCCTCTATACGAATACAAGTAGAAAACCGGCTATCCTTCGCCATGGTGGTGGGCATAACCGCGCGTAACTTGTAATCCTTAGTACGCACGCATGCGCGATATCGCGAGTGAATCGGTGCACAGTTCATGCGCAACAGTCAAGTTGTCTGACATATACACGAGCCTTATCCATGCCACCACTGGCCGCCACATGTCCCGAAGGGCTCACGAAGTCTGCTCGCTCGTAACCAGTCCGAGAGCAGCAGTCGCGACCGTAAGAAGCGCGTTTTCCCGTCTCCCCGAGTCACGATTAGTTTATGTAAATAGTGAAACAACAGAGCAAGATTGTTCAACGAAATAAATGAATTAGATTTCCAAATTCGTGCAAACCCTTTCTCCTGCCTTTCGTTCCCTCGACACATCCACGTACTCGCGAGTGCACTGTTTCTTTCTCCTCTTTCTCCTGCTGCCTCCACTTGCCGTTTCTCCACTCTCTCCGGTTTTTCATCTCTCGATCAAGATCGCCCGACTTGTTTCATTTATATTTAATCAATGTGGTAAGTACATCAAACTCGAACGACGCGGCGACTGTTACGAAGTATTAGTGTTTTTAAATATGTACGCCGGAGCCACGTTAGGACGCATTTTTATATTATTACATGTAGCAGCTGCATTCGCAGTCTGATTATTGTGCGTTCGGAATATTTGCAAGTTGGTGCTTCCGATGTGCATGTTGAGTCGTTGAACAATGTGTCGTTTAATTGGACTGGTTTTCTTTAATATCTTTCTAGCCTTTGCGGCTGACAACAAGGAGGAAGACTCGGTGACAGGATTGTAGGATCACAGTTTTTTCTCCCCGTGAAAAGAAAACAACTGCATCTTGGTGAGAATTCCTTGCAACTGTTTAATACATACTGAAAGGTACGATCTGTAAATGATAATTTTGTATAATTCAATCGTTCTGCACTACTTTTTCGATATTTTATTCTAATAAAAAATTTCACTTCCGCGTAAACGGAGCAGACAAGCTTAATTCGGTCCGGTATTTGACGTGTTTATCAGTATCGGGATTGTTTACAAGTAATTATTATTATTGCGTTATTCTAATGAGATTGAACAAATGACAGAATATATAGTATATTTTAGTAATTTACTCTACTGGGACAAATTCATTCAAAAAACAAATGTAAATATAATATCCATCGATAACAGCATATTTCTTTGATGTAGCATATTTCTTAAAATATTCCACAAAAAAATGTCAAACGTTTTCAGCCAAGAATGTTACAACTAATATCAAAATGATCACGCGCTATCTTGAATCAACAAACGTCAGCGCCTATCTGTCATTGCTAGGTAGACACAGTCATCTTTAAACGTCTATGGAAATTTAAGGAATAAATTAATATTATATTGTAATTTCAATTTTACAATATGATCGGTACTGCAGCTACGTACTTATTTGCTTATATGTATAACAAGTATTAAGGAAAGTGAAGTTACGATAAACTTAATTAAAATAAATGGCCGATTACAGTCTACAGGAAAATTCGTTTTCCAACAATTACAACTAATGAATTTTGCAAAACCATTTTGCTTGGATGATACACGTTTTTTTCTAAAGAATAATACTTTTAAGGGAAACATACATGTTCGGTTAATTGATTACAGAGCCAAGCTAGATTTTTTGTTAAGTAATCTTGAATAAATTAATATATTTTTATTAATGTATAAAGATTCAATTTTTGAGAAAAAGGAATTTGAAAATCTTCGGAGCACGTGTGTACTTGAACAAGACTCCGTTTAATGAATCTCGCTAGAGACTATTATTTTCCAAAAATGCCAATTGGAAACAAATTTTGGATTGATAATTTCACTGAAAGATATTAAAGAACAAAAATTAAAAATTAATTGATAACCTTGCTCCCTATCATGCATACACAAAAAAAGGAAGATTGCGTATTAGCATATGTATGTTAATAATTATGATTGAATAATATTTACAAATTTTGAAAAATATTTTTATATAAGAGTCTTAAACTCAACAATATTATATTTCAAATTCAAATTTCTATCTTCAATCCAGGTTATACTTGATGTGTCCAATAAACAGTGTACATGTACAAAAAAAATGGAGTTTGAGTTCCGGGCGCAAAAAGCCCGAATTTTCAATATTCAATCTTCAAATTGTATGGCAAATATAAAAATTATTCACATATCGACAAACATCAATAGTCATACCTAATGTTTAAATTGGTATACTTCTGCTTAGTTATGATAGACTATGGAATTTCATGATGCCAGGTGTATGATATGTAATTATTAAATGTAATTCACATATGTGGCAAAAATGTATTTGCAGACAAACAAATTATATTCAGTTAATATAATATTGTGAGATTAGATAAATCGGCCATCTGTATTTGAAATTGATCGAAGAATGTTCAAAAGTTATTTGAAATTCGATATCTAAACGTTTTTATTATATGATTATTAAATTTCTTACGTGTTCGTTTGTTTTCAGGAAAAAATGGCAGTACCGAGAAAATGGAAAACCTGCATGTTGGAAAATTTGCTGACTATGTTGACCGTAGCCGGCGTCTTCGGTGGAGTTGCTCTCGGAGTTATTCTGAAAAATGTCAGGGAGACTCCGTGGACCAAACGAGAAATAATGTACATCCAATTCCCGGGTGACATTTTCCTCAGTATGCTGAGTGGCCTCATTTTACCTTTAATCGTATCCAGCATAGTAAGCGCGATCGGTAACTTGGACCTCACTTTGTCAGGTGAGTGCAATAAATTCATAATAGATGATCAAAAAATATATACTTATTAAGTTTTCATTGATAGCTTATCGTCTTCATAATATATAATTAATACTGTAAAACTTCCCCCGAAAGTTTTTTCAACCCCTACAGACCTGTTGGTATAAGTGTACTCCATGCTGGTAAGTAGATTAATATGACATATCGTAACGAAGAAAGTGGGGAAAAAATGGTTTCGACGGGTTTAGGGTTAAATATGAAGGTTCGGAATTTGTGTGTCCTATGTATTTTTATCGGAAAGAAAGGATCTGCGTATGGGTCTGTTAGTACACATGCTTTGAATAAAAATGCATGAACTCGTGTAGGTTGAAATTGCTAGGAAACATCCTGATGGGACAGATAAAAATTTCAGGATAGGACCTCGTGTGTAAATTAAAATCCCCTTGGAGATACTAGTTAGTATGAACAATTACTTGTACTAACGAACAGTTAATTTATACAGCTTCCAATAGTATTATGATATTACGATACTTTCTTTTACTATGTATGTAACTCATGCTTGAACATATTCGTACGATTACTCGTGGCAACAGTAATCTTGAATTTTTATGTATTATCAAATGCACAAATATTGACGAGTTTAACTTTTAATTGATGTGAAAGTAATAAATTGATATGCTGGCTCAGTGGCTAGAGCGTAACACTCGACATTTTGATTATCCTGACGATCGTTGGTTCGAGTCCCACTCGGGGCAGCGCAAACAGACCCAGATAGCATGTGATAATTCCTCGTATATTCTTGAACTTAGACATATACTGCATCTCCGAAATACATACTTCATATTCGTGAAATACATCACGAAAAATTTATCATTACTGAAAGTAATAGTAGTTTGAAAGGATATCTATATAGATAGTCCGAGAATATTTTAGTAATATTTTCATGTGGGAATTTTCAGTCTCAAGATATTCGAGAAAGTCCTGTTTGAATAATCGCAATAAATTTTTTACAAAATAATAATCGCGTAGTAGAGCTCGATCTGATGATGGGTTTTAGCACTATTTTCGCGGGAAAAAAAATTCTGTTGACTAATATACTTACAAGTTACAGGTATATTAGATACAATTAAAATATTAAAAGTATCTATCGGCTTAAATTTCAGATAAGGAAATTCTGTAAATCAGGATGTACATTAGTAATTAACAAACATAATAAAAATTAACAACATAAATCTTAAAAATCTACGCTTTTGAGACTCAGAAAATCGGGCCTAATAGTACTATTACATGATTTTTTTTCATTCTTTTCTCAAAAATTTTGTTTCAACTAAGAATATTATCCTCCACATAAATATTGGTAGAAATAATATAAAACAGTCAAACTGTGGTAGTATTTACAAAAAAATGTTTGTATGATTCGAACAGTAGATACGAAAGAGGCGACGAATCTGCCGCACGTAAGAGAAATTCTCAATTGTAAGATAAATATTTAATAAATCGTAATCCCGTTTGTATATAATAATAAAGTAACATTTTTCAATTAGTTGAAGTTTTATAGAAATTTCAAATAAATTTTGTGACTAAAATATAACGAGTATTGCAAACGAGTACATTTGGCCAGATTAACGAACATCGCGTTAAACGCCACGTAGGATTATAATGTACATATAATTAGAATTTAAAGACAAATATATAATCGATAAAGTTTTATTTTATTAATTTCGTTATGGTCATTCGTCATTGGTCGGTCAATAAAGAATATACATAGTGGAGTCCATCAACTAGCAAGCTAAAGTACTTCGCATATCGAGTTTACGCATTATGACGCGATGCATGTTGAGCAAGAGCGGGCAAAACGAGGGATTTCCCAAAAAATTAGACGTTCTGATAAGGAATCGAACCCAACGCCTACGGACTGCCGAGTCAGAGCACTTAACACTATGCCACCTAACCTATCTACTAGTCACTACTAGCTGCCACGTTCAGCTTGCTGTAACGTTACGTTACAGCATATATATATTATATATTACAACTACATTGATCTACAGTCAGTCCAAATGTCAAATGGCTTAAAATGACAGATAAAAATGCGGAATGCTTAGCACTAACTTTACTGTCTAACTTTACTTTTTTTCCGTCTGTCACGTTAAGCTATTTTACACATGGAGCGACTATATATTATTATGCATATATATATACATATATTTGAAAATAAACATATAAATGCTGCGAGGATTTGGCACGTGGTTTGAGATACGATGAGTAACCGCAACCCGTTGACAAAATACAAAGTTTCGGGGAAACAAATACGCGACGTTTTGGTCTCTTGAATTCCTCCTGAGCGTAGGATCGAAGAATTTCCGGATCGAGACTACCGTTACAGAGTGAGAAGGATAGGGAGATTCATGCTACATAGAATCGTTCAGCTCACCGTACTGCACGCTGAAGGAATTCCAGTAATCTCAAGTAGATCCTCAAGGCACCGAGACACGAAAGATTCGCGAAAAACTGTCGATCCTGTCATTCACAAGATAATCAGAAAGTGCCTGCACACGTGCCGAACGTGGCAACAAGTCTACAATTTGAAATGGTAGGTTTGGCGATTTACTGCGACAGTCCGCTCGACACGATATTCGCCGTTCTAACCGTCAATCGTTGTCTCGCACTTAGCGTGCGACATCTACGAAATCTCTGAGGGTGGTGCCGTCATTGATCGCTAGATGGTGTCACTCGATCCGAGCGCGATGTTACGCGAAAACAATTATCGTAGTTCGGTGGGATGTCTTCGCTACTGCAAATCCTCAACGGATGTTGGTCTAGACGGGATCGCTGATAATAGACTTTTAGCCCGTTATGGACAGGAGACGCGAATTGGCGTTTTTCATTTCTCATATCTCACATGTATCCCGAAAATATGCGGAAACTGAGGTTTGTACAAAAGGGTGAAAGAAGCCTGAAAAATTGTCGGAAAAAAATTTCGCACGAATAACTACTGGTATTGATTTTGATAATAAAGAGACATGTACTTTGTGTGGTTACAATTTTAAGTCGGTCGAACAAGCAGTTTTGGTAGAAACACGTCAACACGGTCAAAAAATGTTCTTTACCTGCGGCTAATATTAAAACCTAAATCTTGTTATGTCAATTCATAAAGTTTTACACTGTAAGTTACGTGATTCGCAAATGATAAGGTTATTGCAGCAAATACAAATTTATATATATTATTTTCATCACAATCGTGCAACTAATTTTCTAAATTTAACAAACTTCAAAAAATCCTACGAGGAACACATTCTCGATACATATGATGTTAAGGAAATGTTAAAAAATGAAAATCGATTTTTTCAGTCTTAGAAACCAGAAATCAAATAAGAATAAAAGAGAGAAAGAAACTAAAACAGACACTTTCTCCTGGTCGGCTCTTCGTATACCTCTAAGGCCCACACGAGATTCAATGCCAGGCCCGTATAGTCCCTCGTAACGTAGTAACGGATTTTGACCACTTTTCCAATACATGTGAGAATATTACCATTTAATACTGCAGCAATCTTACTAAAAGCTCTGTCTGAAAGAAGCCATAGTAATTTGACCATCTTACTGCAGCCAAACTGCAATATGAGTGATCTTGCAAAGTAATACTTGAAAAATATAGTTTCATCATAACATGTCGTGTGGGATACGTTGCCATATCTTATTTTATTCTTTCATTGCTATGCTGCATTCCCGATAACTTTTGATATGTGAAACAAATCTATGTACTTAGCATTGAATAATTGTATAAGAAATATTGACACATTACAAATATGTTATATCCCATTTTTAACTAATAATCCCATAATTTTATGAAATTGCTCGACAATTTAATATATCTACTGGCTAACGTTATTAATTCATCTTGACGAATTTTCAAAAGATATATTTACAAGTAAACATTGATTTTCGTATATTATATCCCCAAGTTATAATTCTAATGTCTTTCAGTTACTTTTCTTTACTTTATATGAACGCAATATATGTAGTACGTGCCAAGAGCATAAATAAAATTGTTAATTTCGATTCTGGGAATTCCTATTTCAAAAATTCAATGCCACATTAACCAGCGACATGACTTTATTGACCCTTCTGTTCACGTCACCCGATACTGCATACCGTGACCGTATATATCACTGATGACCCATACAATTCTTAGTACATTAAATAAAAAAGACATGAGTTACAAGTGAGATAAACTATAGGAATCTCATGAACTTACTACTCTGAAGTGTGGCTTTATCAAATTTACAACGTGATGTTACTTTTTACATTTTCATTGACTAACTTTTACATGTATTACTAAAATTGGCCAAATTAAGCTGATTTTTTTTTTATAACAAGCCAAACAACATAGTCCCTTAATAGTAAAACTGTGGTTGATCCACGATCATGTATAACATTAGTCAGATAATAATTATTATAAAAAGGTCCTTTGATATACTTTTTAAGTTTTCGTAAATTAATTGAAATTATATTTCTTTTCATTCAGGGAAAATCGGAATGCGATCAATTTATTACTATAGCACGACAACTATAACTGCCGTCATTCTTGGGATCATTCTTGTCTTGACGATTCAACCTGGACGTTTATCAGGAACCGCCTTTGAAGCCGATGAAGAGCAAGCGCCAAGTAGAAATGTCACAACAGTTGACACACTGCTGGATTTGGTTCGGTATTTCATTTTTCGTATTATATAAAAATTATGGTGCCCCATGGAAATTAATTTATTTCTACTAGGTATACTAGACGTTCGATGTAGAAAATAAAATTGAGATAATAGTAAAATAGATTGGCAATTTTTTTTTTAATCTAGCCACTTCTTATCAATTTCATAATGCGAAAAATTATTTCCAGAAACATCTTTCCATCGAACCTTGTACAGGCCTGCATTCAGCATGTAAGTATATATCAACGATTTGTGACAAGACAAATATTTCCAGCCGATAATATTTCGGTGGCCAATTGCGCAATGTACGTGCCAATAAATTCTTTCTTGGCAAACTACTGAATGTCGTCTCAATGAAAATTTGATTCTATCAGTAAGATTGCGTTTAATGCAAAATTTTTCATACATAATTATTATGAGAAATTGAAAAGGTAAATTATTAAAGTAACGCCGTAAAAGGAATTATAAAACCGGAGTGGTCAAGTAATTACCGTATCGCGTTATCGTTTGAAAAATGATCTCGAGAATATAACGTAAAACATAGCGAAATATATCTATTCGATAATAAATTATGCTTGCCAAAAAAAAAAAAACTTTCTTCTCAAAATATTAATTGAGCGAACGTATTTTGCGATCAAAGTATTTAAACGGTGATAAAATCGATAAATTTATAAAACTCTTTCCTCGTAATTATTACGTACGACGTTAAACTTTTATCATTTTTTCTGACCGGAACATCAATTGGACATTCAAGGGACTTTATATGTCAAGTTAACCTACATTATCGGTCGTTGTCCGAGTTTCTCGTGCCCAGAGCATGCCAAAGTCTAAGAATCGCAATCAGGGAAAAGAGTTGGGATGTGCAGGTTTCACGGTAAAATATATTTTCTGCGTGATCCTAGAGAGTAACTGTCCAAAATTCGGTCCAGATCGGTCAAACAGTTTGAGCGGTAATAGAGACCTCTACAGAAGGACATTATATTTAATATATGTAGACAATGACAGATAACGTAAGAGACGCGACGGATTTTTTAAATTGACTATAGAAGAGATTATACTTGAAATTAATATATCGTTCTTAAATAAATTTTTATTTCTTTTTTTAGTATCAAACCGACCTGCAACCGCCAAAAAATATGACCGGTGGTAAGTTGATTGCAAACTTCATTCTAATTCTATTAATACTGAAAAACGCTGTAGTCACTCATATTTATTTCACGTCATATGCAATAATAGACACTTGCAATAATTTGATGTTTATAAAAACGCGCCTGTCTATTGTCAGAACTTGTATATATAATTATACATACAATTTTCAAGTTAATTTCCCTATTTAAACAGGTGTAATTTTATATTACACTCGGACACTAATATTAAAAAATATTAAGTTTGAAAAAAAAATAAACCCAGCAATTTTTTGGTTTATTTTAATTCAGCCTTCTTGTTATACGAATATTTTTTTCATAATTATATATATATATATATTTTGCATTCATTTCGCCTGGCAACACGTCAAGCCTCTCCGATGCGCTTGCTCGCGCTTCAATCTGACAGCTGCAAAATATTGGAACCATATGTCGGTGTATAATTTGCGCACTTTATTATTTGTTGGCAATAAACCGTCATACGTATGCTTTAAATATTGCGGGCTAGTAAACAGTAAAAAAAAAAATGCTTGCGGTAAAAAATATGTCTTTATAAGAAAAATTCTTAAATTGAATTCAAATTTGATAACGATTAAAATAATAGGCATTTGTATTATACAGTTAAAAAATTGACGCCCACTTTTTTTTTTCATGTAAATTTACACAAACCGTAACGGTATAGACAGTACAATAATTAAACGTGACAATTTCGTTGATGTTCAATTCTTTTGTAACAGCTGACAGTCTAGTACTTACTTAAACCTGGGTGATAAATAATTGTGAACCTAAAGAAATACAGGCTTTGCTTTGCTTTGCATGTCAAAATCTATGCAGACACAGTACTACCGTAGTGGCTTGGTTTAATTTTGAACACCAGAATTCCAAGATATTGAATTCAGATTATTCCAGTACGAGCCATTAATCAGGAGACATTTTAATAAGAACTCAAAAGCTACGACGTTTATTGCTTTTCGCTTCTTTTCCCACATGAAGTAACCAAGCGTTTACGATACACGAAATATCATTAACAATTGCTTTGCCTTGGATATGCTTTAATAATCAGTGTAATTGCAAGGACGTAAGAAATAAGACTTATTTTTTTTTTTACTGTTATTAATATACATACATATTTGCTTGTGTTATTACAGTCGATGGAGTATACGACTATGACATAAAAAAGAAGTATAACAATGGAACAAATACTCTTGGTCTTGTGATCTTCGGCATTATTCTTGGTATTACCCTTGCGAAAATGGGGGAACCGGGCAAACCTCTTCTGCACTTCTTCAACTCCTTAGCCGATGCCATGATGATCATAACCTCATGGGTTATTTGGTATGACATTCGCACAATAATCATATTCAATATTGTATTTAAGTTATCCGGTGAATTCAAAAAGATATCACAGGAAAGAGAGTTTCATGAACGTCTTAAAAATCTTAGGAAAGAACTGTACAAAATTATTGAGCTGGCAATAGTTGCTATTAACACTAATCGTACAATCGACCGGTCGTTCGATCGTTTTGGAGCCAAAATACATTTAAAAAATTATCGGTACGGTTGTTGTTAGGATTCAAAAATAATTATTAATCATCGATAATGCTTACTATTACCATATCGTATTGAGTATTCAGGTAGTTACTATGTGTCATAGTGACTATAAAACTTCAATAGCGATTACTATTGAAAATGAAACAAGGTATCCGAGCATAGTTAATATTTCAAATAATTTAATGCTAAGCCCCGTTATAGTATAGAAATTTGAAAATCTTCCACCTTTGTAATACGACGCTGAAGAAAGAAAGTGACAATTCAGTATGTAAAGTTAGACGATATTATTCTTCAATCATATTATACAGTAAAACGGTATAATACGATTGACGTGTAATATAAAGAAATAACATTGTTTTTATTCCTTCAGGATTTCGCCGATTGGTGTGATGTTTTTGGTCACCGCGAAATTATTAGAAATCGGTAATCTGGGAGCCATCGTTGGTAAACTTGGATTTTACTTTTTGACCGTTCTCCTGGGTTTGATACTGCACGGGTTTGGTACACTGTCCATCATCTACTTTATCTGCACCAGAGAGCTGCCATTTAAAGTTATTGGCCAACTGGGACAGGTCATGGTTACAGCTTTCGGAACTGCTTCAAGGTCAGGATGCATAATAATCTAATTAATAACCAGAGATACAGTCGATGGCCACGCAGTGATCAGTGTAGGCTGATCGTGCAAATTCCATTGCTGGTACTATCGATCGTCAAATATTATAATATTGGATCTTTCGTTCACAGTTCCGCCACACTGCCTATCACACTTCAGTGTTTAGACAGTATGGGGATGGATCCTAGAATAACAAGGTTTGTGGTTCCAATTGGTGCAACGATCAACATGGACGGAACGGCGCTTTACGAAGCTGTTGCCGCCATTTTTATTGCACAAGTACGTGGCATTGAACTCTCGTTCATCAATGTCATCGCGATCAGGTAACCATGGAAATTAATTTATGGTAATAACGTTTTCCCATTCCCTGTTACGTAATTATGTACGTCAAAAGTCAGTCGGAATATTTGCTCTTAGCCTCCATATTATTGAATCTTCAGATACGAAATTACTCGACTTTTGGAAGTATCCCTCGTGTAATTGCTATAGGAATAAATGAATGGCTTTGTGCATAAATCGATCCCGATTGAACTTACAGGCAACTTATCT